TGCTCCTTCCGAACCCTGGGATGGGTACCGAGATAGAAACCGGGGAAGCTGGGTGTTCTTCGGGGATGCAAACAGGTCGACTTTGGGCCGACCGAAACGGTGAGTTATCTCCCGAAAGAGATGGGGATGTAGACGCCACTCTGAATGATCTATCGTAGATCGACTCAGAAAATCTGCCTGGTCGTTTTCCACCCCTGCTGTGTTCTGCCTTTAGGGACAACAGATTCTGTTCCGCCCATGACCCCAGACACTGGGCCTCGGACATTAGAATCCGTGATCGAGTGCCGCCCTGCCTGTTGACATGGGCCTTTGCCGCCACGTTGTCTGTCAGAACCAGCACGTGGCGGCCCGCCAACTTCTTGTGGAAATGGCGAAGTGCTAGGTGTATGGCTCTGAGCTCTAACCAATTGATATTTTTCTTGAGATCCCGTTGAGACCACCGTCCCTGGGCGAATTGAGATTGCAGATGTGCCCCCCATCCAAACAGACTGGCGTCTGTGGTCAAGGTTACCCGAGTCGGTTCTTTGAACAGGGATCCTTTGGACAGTGCTGGGGACAACCACCAGATGAGGGACGTGAGTGTCTGTGGTGGGACTCGCACCCTCTGTGGAAAACATGCTACACTCCGTTTCTGGTAAGGGAGTAGAAACCACTGTAGTTGTCTCGTATGAAGCCTGGCCCAAGGCACTATGGCAATACATGAGATCAGTTTCCCTAACAGCTGTGACAGTAAGAGCAGGGTTACACGTTTCTCCTTGCGCACCCTGGTGACCATCGTACGTATGCTGAGCTGACGCTCCTGAGACAGGAAAACCCGGCACTGGCTGGTGTCTATTATTGCGCCTAAGTGGAGCAAACGGTTTGTTGGGATCAGATGGCTCTTTGGGAAGTTGATCATAAATCCATGATCCTGGAGTGTCTTGATCGTCAGTGCCACGTCTGAACGGGCGTTCAGTGCCGAGGACAAGTGGATTAGGATATCATCCAAGTAGCACTGAACGTGGACTGGTACCAACCTGAGCTGTGCGGCGAGAACCACCAGGATTTTGGTGAAAACTCTTGGAGCTGATGATAGGCCGAATGGCAGGGCCCTGTACTGATAGTGATGGTTGGAATACCTGAATCTGAGGAAACGCCTGTGATTTGGATGTATGGGAACATGCAGGTAAGCTTCTGTCAGATCTATGGATGTAAGAAAGTCCCCCGGCCGAATACTGCCCAGAATAGAATGAAGAGTTTGCATCTTGAATTTTTGGTAAATTAGGTACCGATTTAGAGCCTTGAGGTCTAGGATCGCCCTCCATCCTCCTGAGGGTTTTGGTACCACGAACAGGATGGAGTAGAAACCCAGTCCCCATTGATCTGGGGGTACCCGCTCTATTGCCTCTATGCTTAACAGATGACAAATGGCCTCCTCCATGAGACCTTGTTTCACGGGATTTCTGGATAGGGGGCAGGAGATGAAGCGCCGAGGGGGGAGTGTGAGGAACTCCAGAGACAGTCCGTCTCTGATAGTGGTTAGAACCCAATTGTCCGTGGTGGTACTTTCCCATTTGTGGAAATATAGTGCCAGTCTTCCGCCAATGGGAGGAATCCGCCTCAAGTCACTTTGACTTTCGGAAAGGACGAGCTCCTCTGCCGCGAAAGGGCCGCTTAGCCTGGAATTGTGGCTTTGGCTTGTCCCTGTAGCCGGACCGTTCCGATGAGCGGTCCGGCCCTGCTTGAAAGGGCCGATACCCGCTCCATGTAGTTCGGTCTGAGCCAGACTTGAACGACGGACGCCGGTTGTATGGAGAAAAACGTCTGCCCGTTTTTTTGACAACATGAGCTAGTACTTTCAACTTTTCTTTGTTTTCAGTCAGGTAAGGAGTGAGAGCCTCTCCAAAAAGGCGACCCTTTTGATATGGTGCCGCAGCTACTCTCCATTTGTGTCTGGTATCGGCCTTCCAATTTTTTAGCCAGAACAACCGGCGTGCGGCCACGTTGGAAGCTATGGCCCGAGCCGAATATTTGGCCGACTGCAGAGACACATCCGCCATATATTCCAGTGCGGCCCTTAGTTTAGTGACATCCTGGTGAACCCTTACCTCGTCTGGGGATAATCTGGCCTGTAATTCCCTGAGCCAGATTAATGAAATTCTAGAGAAAAAGGAGTTAGATGTTGAGGCTCTTATAGCCCAAGCCGATGCCTGATGGGTCCTTTTGAGGGAAATCTCAGACTTCTTGTCCTCAGCCTTAAGGGCCTCCGACATATCTCCTGGGATTTTGGTGTCTGACAGTATGGGGGCGAGAGCCTCGTCTACACTCGGAACTTCGAGGACATTGTTGAGGGAAGGGACCGTATCTAAGAGCTTACGATCTAATCCCCCAAGAGCAGAGAAACTTCCAGGAGATCCCCACTGATCCTGAATGGATTTGAGAAAAATAGGGGGGCAAGGTATCTGTAGGTTTTTCTTGACCGGTTCCAGAAACAGTGGGTCAGAACTCTGTCCAGAGTCCTGATCGGTCGTCTGTGGTTTCATGGGTTCAATTTTTCCGGTGACATAGGCCTTTTGTAAAAGAGGATAGAAGGAATTTGGATTAAACACCCCTACCATAGGAGTGGCCTCCGCCTGAATGTCTTCCCCATCTGACCACATGCCTTCTTCCAGAATCTGAGCAGAAAAATCTGATATCTCGCTCCCTTCAGATTGAGGTGGAGAACTGTGATCTGAAATCACATACTCCCTGGGATGCCTAGTTTCCGTGGGTGTAGGGGGGGTTGACGGTCCTTGGACCAGAATGGCCCTCCCTGAAGCCGCCATTGCCTGAACCACCGCCTGTGAGACCATGGCTTGGAGCTGGACAGTAAATGAAGGATGTTTGGGGCCCCGAAGACCCGCCGCCATCGGCGTGAAAGATGCTGAAGGGATTGGGGGAGGGACGACTGTAGTGACCTCCCCCTGAGACGCACTGAGGAAAGTCCTGGCTCAGCAGCTGGAATTGAATCTTGGACCTGTAATCTCAATTCTCGGTCAAAGAGGGACAGATGGTCCCGTTCATATCCCAGCAAGGAACCCTGGTCCAGGGTCTGCTCGGGAGACCAAGCCTGTGTAAAAGGGGAAAGTCGATGCTCCCCTGATGTGGATGCAAGAGGAGATGAGGGGATAAGCTGCGTCTCTCCTATCTGCTGCTGGGCTTTGGAGAATTGTCGCTCCAGCACCCCATGTCTGCTATCTGCTTGCTTGTCATCGGCCTTAGAGGTCCGTTTGACCTTGGCCTTGGCTTTTGCAGGTGTATCCAGACTGGATGGCTTGCGTTTTATATTTCCACTGGAGGTGGAAGCCTGTGAAACGGTGTTATCCGCCATATTGAAATAAACAATAGGAAAAAACAACAGGTGTTCACCAGGAGATCCCTGGATCTGGCCTGTACTGCAGTAGAAGAAAAGACAGGTTGTCACCAGGAGATCCCTGGATCAGTCCTGTTCTGCAAGAGAAGGGCAGGTTTTCACTAGGAGATCCCTGGATCGGCCCTTGGTCTGCAGGAGAAAGGAAGGCCACGGCCCACCTGGGTGGTACAGGCCTGCATGAGGGTCTGTGAGGTCCGGCCCACCGTTAAGCACGGAGTCACTACGCGATATAAGCCGCGCTGCGCTCAGGGGCTGTCCTCCCCATTCAATTTTTCAGGCCCACTGTAATAGAGACAATTTGGCCGAAAAGGTATCAATTAAAGTCTTCATATAAAGTCTATATATGAATATAGGTATGTATCTTGTTTAATTTAATTCTGTTTTATTTTAATTGATTTTTTTTGACCCTCGTGTTTCACTTAGTGATGGCTAGGACAGTAAGTGCCAACCACTATGCAGACAGCGGAAAACAGGCAAGGCAAGCAGCCATCCAATCTGTTGGCACTGGATATTTAAAAGGTACTGGTAAGTCACAGTCTGGAATATTACCAGATAAAATGGAGTGAGAGACTCAAGGTATTTTCCCTATGTCCACTAGGCAACCTGAGATGGTGCCTATTAAGCAGCTGAATGAAGATCTAAAGGAATGTAATTAGAACTCCTATTCCCCCCCCCCACTTAGGGAGAATCACCAAATAAGTAAGTTACTTCGTGACTGAAAAGGCTGTAATTAGGACAAAGCAGTCAATTTAATGTGTGTGATAGGGCGGAGCCCAAAATGGCGGCCGGGACAATCTGATGAGAGATGAAACAAGCTGAGAGAAAAGATCCTCTCCTGCAAGTAATCTGGTAATCAGCTCTTTTAGTCAAACAGTTCACCTACTGTTTTTTTTTATTTATTTTTTTGTAATTTATAGCTGACAATCAACAGTAACAAGGAAGTACTTGAGTAGTGTGAGGATCGAGCCTTCTAGAGGCTCAAAATGGCGCCCGCAGGTTGTTTGAATTGGTAACAAACTTAAGAAGGTGATTTCAGTTTTCAGCTGAAAATTAGTAGTTTAGCTTCACATTCACAGCGAAGATCTTGGGAGGGGGTGGGGGAGGTGGATTGTAATGAGGAGGCAGCAATCTACGATCAGCTGTCTGCCTCTGAAAACTCAGGGAGAAGGGAATTGATTAAGAGAGAAGAAATGGTGCAGCACTGAGCTCAGAGCTGAACCAATCCCCCCCCCCCCAGAAGGAAAAAAAGGATAGAGAAACCACGAATGGCAATAACTACCTTTTTGAATCTAAATTAGGAGCCAAATTCTCATGTGTCTTCAGGGCTGAGACCAAACGAAAACTGGGGCATGGTCAGACCCTGCAGAGGCGTGGCAACTTTGATTGTTTGGTCTGATTGGGCTAGAAGACTAAATCAACCCATCCGATCCATGGAGTCTACATTCCTCTACATGCTGGAGAAAAGGCTGTTTCAAAGACAGATGTTATTACAGACTTAATCAGGCTTTTAGGAGGATTTCATCAGTGAGAAAACATGTAATTCATTCGGTTTTATAACTAATTTTGTTGCTGAAAAACTGAACAAATAAAAAAAAAACCCTTTTCCTCCTCCATTTATGATCATTTATATTGTTTTATTACATGAAAAACAAGTAAATGACATAATAGGAAATAACTTGATGAAACAGCAGCAACTTTTTATTATTTCCAGAGCTTCTTGATAGACATGTTCTTCTCACTGTCTTTTTGCATCACCTGTCAAGGGAGAAGCAGCATTAAAAACAAAGCAGAAGATAACACATAAATTGCAGCTTCTTAAAAATTTTCTTCTACCACTAGGCTAGCTGTTTAAATCCATACATTTTATTATCTCTCCCTGACCAAAAAAACCTGTCTCATTAATTCCATAAGTTGAACCTTCATGTTACCTTCATTATCCTATCTTAATAAAAATGCAGGAGTTTTTGCTGTAAGTCTGCTATCACTCATCTACCCAGTTAAATGTCAGACTTCAAATAATTCAACTTTTCAGAACTCCATTAATACATGCTGGTCTCTACAACTTCTCTGGAAAAAGGCAGTTCTGGTTTAGTCACTCCTAACCACAAGTAGAACCTAGTTGCAATTTTAATAATCACCCTAATTATCTATTCAGCAGTCATTCAGTTATGATGGCACTGAATAAATGGTGGTTATGACCAGTCAGAGTTCCAGCTTTCCTAGCACCCCTATTGTCGTGTGACTGTGATCCTGGCACCTGGCAGTTAATTCACACTTAAGACTGATCACAGTACCGCACAATCACATGATCACCATTTGCAACATTCCATGCTGGCTTTCACAGAAATTTATGGAGATGCCATCAGGGACAATCAGAAATTGCTGCGATAAGTCTCTCTTACCATGCATACTCCACAGCCCCTTTGTGCTAGTGCTGACCATTTGCACAATCAGTGACCCCTGCCTCACATTCCCTCTTGCACCTGACCCATGTTGCTTATGCACATCGTCCCCCCTTCTTGTACACAAATGAAGAAAAACACACCCCCTTGCACTCTTCCTGACCTACCTCATGCCTCTTGTGGACTTTCCCTGTTTGTGCCTCTTGTACACTCTCACCCTTTTATGTGCGTGTCTAGGACTTACAACTTCCTGCTGGTTTCTCATGGTTTAGGAAGCCAACAGGAAGTTGCCTCATCAAACAACTACAGGATTCAGTTAACAATGGCAAACAGGATTGCAGATATTGCCATCATTAAATGATGGAACCGTGTTTTATGACCATATCACTTACTAACAGAAATTCCAATCCTAATTGTCATCATAAATCCAGGAATACTTATATCACACAGTTAATATGCCTAGTGGATATTCTGAATCAAAATTAAAAGTATTACAATTCAATATATAAGAAAAACTTGTTAGGGAAGGCAGCTGTAAATACTGAGTATTCCTTTTGTCTCTCATATCTACCACCAACAGTACCTTTGCTACAGCCATTTCAAAGTCTTCTTGAGTTACGTGTACTCTCCTCTCTCTCAGTGCATACATTCCAGCCTCTGTACACACACCCTGCAACACAAATTTGTACAATATCCATATGTCCTGTTCCATTCAAATATAGAGCTCAGCCAAACCATCTTTTGCCTCATATAAAAACAATACAATTGTTCCTAATGCTGAATGGAGAGATTTTTAATTATATGTATACATAAGGTGCTAATTTTAATTCAAGCACTAATTCTTGGAAATACTTTTGAAATATTTAGCAATTATGTGTTTTAACACCAACATTCATTTTCACCTATCAAAAAAGAACCATGAAAATAACCGTCTCTTCAGTGTTGAAAAAAAGTTTAGCATGGCAGAATGCCAAAATAACATTTGAATGGTGTTATAAAAATATCAGGAAAATATTTGCCAATATCCCTTCTCTTCACAGGTGCAAAACTAAGTTGAAAAACTATATCCCCACATATTTTCAATAATCCATGATTTTTTTTAAAAAAAATAATTCACTTTAAAACATACAGCAACTAATCTGGCATCCATTTAAATCCGAATTTCTCTATTACCTTGACCTCAGCCCCGGAAGCCCCTGGCATTAGTTCTGCAATCTTCCGCAGATTGATTCCTCTTGTCAGATTCATCTTGCGAGAGTGAATCTTCAGGATGTCTAGACGAGCCTATTGGGGTCAAAACAGTATAGAAAGTACAACGCAATACAGCTGATGGACATTCTCTCTCCAGCATCTCTTTACTGGAGAAGATCTATTACAATAAGCAAATGAAAAGCTGACCCACTAACTCTGTTACCTCTTCATTTGGAGGTGGGAATTCAATTTTTCTATCAATGCGGCCAGGTCGAAGCAGGGCTGAATCCAAGATGTCTATGCGATTGGTTGCCATAATTACCTGCAAAAAAATAGTTACTGAACTGTAGTCAATATTCTAGTTTAGTGGCCCCCAACCCTTTGGGCAGCAGAGACAGATTCCACGGAGAGAGATTTTTCTGCGGACTGGTGGGGGCGTGGTTTCACCTGCATCCTGTGGATAGGGCTTAGCTTGTTTGTGTGGCCTGGTTTTTGCATGCTGCGGCCTGGTGCCAGGATCCTATTTTAGTTAATGTCTACATGTATTTTTTACATTCATCCTATCCTACTCCCAAGCCTAAAAAGTGTCTCCTTTGAGCTATTACAAGTCTCTTATATAACTACCCTTCTCTATCCAAATTCTTTTTATCCATCCCCTCCTTTATTTTCACTGGTGGCATAATTTTATACTCATATATGTAATTATTTAAGATTAAAAATGTTTCTGCCACTAAGGGAAAAAAACTTCAAACCGTTTCAAGAAAAGCAAAAAAATGAAAAAAGACCTAACCCCCTGAAGGCTTCAGGGATTAAAAAAAATATCATTACATACTTTCATTTTGGCCTGTCATTATTTATAAATTTCTTCAAAAGTCTAAACTATTATGTCTGATGTCACAATGGCTTTGTCATGTAAGCAAGATTTTAAAAATTCTACCTTAGCAGAACAAGTGAACACAAACTTATGACGTCACACCTCTCTCAACATACCTTGATATTCTTAGTGGCTTCAAAACCATCAAGCTGGTTGAGCAATTCCAACATTGTACGCTGAACCTCACTGTCCCCACCAGATCCACCTTCCAAGCGAGAAGAACCAATGGAGTCTATCTCATCCATGAAGATGATAGAAGGAGCATGCTCCCGTGCCATGACAAATAGCTCACGCACCATTCGTGCACCTGTCATCATAAATCAAGCATATTAACTCCTTTAGCCCTGTGAAATAATCACAGTTGGCTCCTTGTTGGATGAACAAATTCCATTAATCCTTCCACAAACGTGGATTCTTTTAAACATTTTGTGGCAGTTCTAATTTTAATTCCATTTTCTATCCCTGAATTCCTTTCCAAAGCAACTTTTTAACTCCAGTTTGCACATGATTATTATACTATATTGCTGAAGTGCATCTCCTGGAAAATACTACTTAAATATTGCAGTGCACAGGGCTATCTTTGAACAGTATTCAGAAGCTTCAATAGTCTAGAATTCAGCAGCATGGATAGTAATGAGCATGCTTCAATGTATCCTTGTGACAACTCTGCTTCACTAGTTGCACTAGTTACCAGTCTGCTTCTAGGTGCAATTCAAAGTGTCTTGTCAACTCTACAATGAACCTGGCTGCAGCCATCTTGCTGTTCTAGGTTGCCACAAGAATGGGAGGAGGGGCAGAGGATTTCTGCTAGTCTAAACATTTCACTGCCCCGTGAGAACCAAGGTAATTTCTATCCTTTAGGTGGGGGCCGTATTTGGTTAGAAAGCCTGCCAAACTATTCTATTGGGAAACAGTTGATTGCATAGCAATAAGGTTGGAAATTTAACTTTCTTTTGAAGGGGATTTCAGACTTGGTTTCACTTTTGACAATGCCGATACTATGTAGCCAATAACCATGTTCTTTGAGGAAATCTCTAGCCTCGGAGTTCTGATTTGTTTGGTTTCATCTATTGGAACTTTGACATGTCGATTATAAGTAGTTCTCGTCTTAACAATCATCCAAAGTTACGATGGTGCTGAAAAAAGTGACTAGTGACCAGTACATGCATTTCAGCATCTCCTATGCTCACGTGATTAAAATTTGGATACCTGGCAGTCATCATTTATGTTCACAGCATCCTATGGTCACATAATTGCCATGGGATTCACTTAACAACTGCAGCAAAAGGCTCATAAAATTGTGTGCAATTCCATAGTGATGGAAATTGGGCAATGCATAAATTGGATAAATTAAATTAAAATTCCAAACCACATAATCCTTTTCCAAAATGAATTACCTTCTCCAATGAATTTCTGCACAAGCTCAGAGCCAGAGACACGGATGAAGGTACAGTCAGTGTGATGAGCCACAGCCCGGGCCAGCAAAGTTTTTCCAGTACCAGGGGGTCCATACAATAGCACACCCTATATGAGAGCACTTAAGATTAGTGGGGAATATAAAAGTTCAAAGTTCAAAGTGTGAATCAGGGACTTTATGCAGTACAGTGCATCCCATTCTGTAGGCAGCTTCCATTCTTACTCAATGAAACGACATACATAAGCACACATAGGCACGGAAAGACGGCTATGAGTTTAACACATTGTTTTGGAGAAGTAGTGATATGCTTCATTAAGAATCAACTTCAGTATCATTTAGCAATTAGCAATTAAGTTTCCAAAGTGCCTGTAATCAATTGCAATATTTAACTATTGAATTTATACTCTACCCATCTCTGGTTGGTTTACAAATGAAAGCCATATAGCCATACAAAAGAAACAGATAAAAACAAAAGTTAACAAAAAGATGAATGGAGCGTCCTCAAGCCACCAACCACTCCCAGGATTGAATGTTGCTCTCAGATCCCCATGCCAGTTATCAGAGGTAGGTCTCGATGTTCTTCCAGAAGGCCGTCAGAATGCAGGCCCATCACATCTGGAGGGTAAGATGTTCCATAGGACAAGGGTAACAGCAGAGAAGGCTTTCTAAGGTTTTCTTAGACTCTGCCAATCAAAAGGGCCCTCCTATGAGTCATGGGTCCAGGAGGACACCAGATTACATACCAAGTCTGTCTGGGACAAGACAACCTATCCAAGACCAAACATGGTAAACCCCTTAGATACAGAAGTGCTTCCTACTTACAGTGACTTCATCTTAACAGAGTTCAGTTGAAGCCCTTTGTTCCCCACTCAGACCACAGCAGGTACCTCAAAAGGGCACCAGGATAGAGATGTATCTTGGATATTATCTGCGAATTGATACCCAGTCCATCATGAAGGATAATCTCACCTAGCAGCTCCATGTAAATGTTAAAAAGAGTAGAGAAGGCACCAAGCCCTGCAGTACCCCACTAAGCAGGAACAGCAGCCTGGCTCTATCAACACTGGCTGGGACTGGCCAGGGAGAAGGCAAAGCACTATAAAATTGTGCCCTCCACCTTCGAAGCTGACCTAAAAGGATACCAAGAGTGGTGATATCAAAGGCTATTGAGAGGTAAAGAGTTCAGATTAATGCACTACCCCATCCCGTTCCTGCTAGAGATCACCCAAAGTACGATCAGTGGCCTTTCTGTCCTTTATCTGAGCCTGTGACTGAAAGGGGTGCAAACAAATCTATCATCCAGGATTCTCTAAAGCTATGATCACCTTCTCAACCACCTTTCCTAAAACGGAAAGTTGACAGATGACAAAAAATATCCAGAAATGTGGGATCAAGTTATGGCTTTTTGAGAAGTGCACTAGCACATTTTTAAATGGCACCAGGAATATCCTCTTCCTCAAGGATGAATTAAACATCACTAGGACCCACCCATGTCATCTTCCAGGCAGCCTTAACCAACCAGAAGGGATCTAATCCACAGGTGGCCAACACTTACAGTAATAATAATATTAACAATAACAATAATAATAAAGTTGGAAGGGACCTTGGAGATCATCAAGTCCACCCCCCTACTCAGGCAGGAAACCCTACACCATTTCGGACAAATGGCTGTCCAGTCTCTTCTTAAAAACTTCCAGTATTGGAGCATTCACCGTTTTTGCAGACCCTGTCCACTTCCTTAGGTCAAGAGGATCAAACTGTTCCCAGATAACTGGGTATGTTTATTCCCCAGGTATCTTCAAAGGATATGTACCATGCTTTGTCTCCAACTGAGAATAAATCCAGATAGACATTGTCTATCCGATGCACTGAAAATTCCTAAGCATAGCCTGAAGGCAAACCTTTAAAGCCCTTTTACCCAGGAGCATCCAGGTAACCCTAAACAGGGTCATCAGGAAGCACTCTATGGACAGAGTGGAGAAATACTGATGTTTCCTCACTCTTAACCCTACAATGGAGGTCTCAATAGTGGCTCTAACTTGTGATTGGATTCATCCTTCATCTTCCTACAGTGGCACTGTATATATCTCTTGATCTTTTTCAGCTCTCTCAATTCCTCCATAAAACACAGGGAATACCAAGAACAAAAAGTCAAGAGAGATCACACAAATAGAATCAGGTCCAAGGCCTCAGCCACCTCCCTATTCAGAGCTGTGCAAAGCCTCATATCCATTTCTCAAATGAATTAAATCAGAAGTTTATCACTGGAAAGACTCAAGCACAAGCTCTAACTTACCAATGGAAACTGATTACATGATTCTCAGTTATTCTCTCTCAGTCTATTTCATTTCACAAGGTTATTATGGACAGAGAATAGAGAAACAATGCTTTGTGTGAAATCAATTTAATAAATTAAAATTTATGGAGGAAACCTAACAGCTATAGTCTATGCTATATAGCAAGAGAAAAACAACCACAAAAGAAACCTTCAAATAAACTTGCCTCAACACCCACTGAATTATCACAATGCCTACCTACTGCTTTTCAGAGAACGCTGCATGTGGAGATCCTCAATCTACCTAGCCCATTATGTACACAGAACCACAATGATGCTCCAACACCCCAAGCACATTACTTCCCAGGTCTAGGTACTAAGATTTTTGGACTATATATACCAAGGTTGAAACTGAAACAAAACATATGCTATAGATGCTCTTAATCTCTGACATTCCCCTCTTATTGAAGCCTTTTTCAAAAGCAGTTTAATATCCTTTCAATTTTTTAAGGTTTGTGTGCCCCTTTGAAACACTTTTCACTTACCTTTGGTTGAGCAATGCCCAAAGCTTCAAAAAGCTCTGGATGTTTAACTGGAAGCTCAATCACTTCCTTAATCTCTTTGATTTGCTTGTCAAGACCACCAATCATCTCATAGGTGGAATCTGGAACTTTCTCCACCATCATCAATGAAACCAGGGGATCCACTTTGTTTGGTAGTATCTTATGCAGTGTGTAGCTATCATTCCTCAGAGCAACACGACAGTTTGGTGTCACCTGGACAGTAAAGAGGAAAATAAGTTGTACATAAGGGAAGGAGGTCTAATTTCGGGGGGGGGGGATCACAAATCCAGAAGATCTAGAAAAGAATATATGGCCTTCCTTATCCCCAGAAAGCTACTCACATCATTGATATCTATGTTTTTATCCACATCAACCACAAACTTGCCTTCTGGGTGAACCTGAAAGACAGAATGGTTAATTAACTTCTGGAAAAAAACATTTCTTGTATTGTAACAGCCAATAAACTAAGGTCAATAAGCAAGGGTGTTATTTGCAAAAAAAGCCTATAGCTTTTTTTGCAAAAGCAAATGAAATAGCTATGGAGAAAACCTTCCACTATTTTAGGATAGTTTATTTTGCAAGGCAAGTCAAAACTGGATTCATTCAACATTCACTATTAAACCATATTATGTATATTTGCTGCCTTGAGTTACTTATGAAATGAGGGCAAGATCTAATAAACAATATTTGCTGCTCTTGTCCTGAAATATTGTGGCAAGCTACATAAGAGGCTTAACTGTTAACTAGGTAGTCTTTGATTTAAACATTACAGCTGTCATGATAACCCTAAATAAATTTGTGTTAGTGGCTGTCAATTTTGATCTAACATCGCAAATATAACATAGCTGGTACTAATTTTTTTCACAGTTCTAAGGCAGCGGTTCTCAACCTGTGGATCGCGACCCCTTTTGGGGTCGAACGACCATTTCACAGGGGTCACCAAAGTCCTGGAGTTTTTCCTCATAGAATCCTTATGAAATGCAGTCCAGCATTTTTTTTTTTGGGGGGGGGGTTCCCCTTTTTCATGAGCTGTGCTACTCCCTCTTATTCTATTGGCTTTTGAAAGCCAATAGAATTAGACTCTATTCAAGAGAGTCTATTCCATTGGCATTCGAAAGCCAATGGATTCTATTGCAGTGTTTCTCAACCTTGACAATTTTAAGGATGTGGACTTCAACTCCCAGAATTCAGAACACTGATCTATTGGCTTTCGAACACCAATAGGAATTGTCCAGGCTGTCTCTGCCCTGCTGAGCCCACCAAAAGTCCCAGTCGGCAAACGTTGCTGCAAGTTGTCTGCAGCTAAGGCGAGCTTTCTGGAAGTTTCCACCCCTCCCTGCTGAGAAACTACTAAATGTAAGTAAAAGAGGGCCAGGGGTGAGAGGGCCGCCCATGAGTGCCTGGGCCTGCCTGCCACCATGCTGAACGGGCGGTGGCCATGGTGAGGCTAGCAGGGCAGCGGCGGGTGCTGGGAGCGTAGCTGGTGTGCGTGGGTCCCGGCGGGTGGGCTTACCTCCCTTGGGCCGGGCCAGCTGGTGGCCCAGCTGGTGGTCGGCCTGCGCCATCGCTGCCGCTTGCCATGGTCGCCCAGGAGCGCCTGGGCCTGCCTGCCGCCGCACCGAACAGGCGGTGGCCAAGGTGAGGCTAGCGGGGCAGCGGCGGGCGCTGGGAGAGTAGTTGGCGCACGTGGGGCCCGGCGGGTGGCTGACCTTCCTTGGGCCCGGCCAGCTGGTGACCTAGCTGGTGCTGGACCTGCGCTACTGCTGCCTCATCCTGTGCCTACATGGCCGCCCTGGAGCACCTGGCCCGCAATGCCTGCTGCCTGCATCCTCCCACCGCCCTGCACTGGCGTCTGGCTCGGCGACTGCAAGCTCTGCGCCATTGGTGTGGTGTGCAAGTGGCGCTGTGGGAGATGCGGGGCCTTCTGCTGCCTCCTGCCCCTCACGCTTGGCCTTCCCGGGACCTCTGCCCATTTTCCCATGCCCAGAGCAGGAGAGGAAGTGCTGCTTTCCGGGCATGGGAAGGGGCTTCCCCCTCCCAGCCCCACATCCACCGGGGCGGGGGCACTCCTCTGCACCGGGACTGGGGCTGTGCAAATCGCAGCGCGCCTCCTTTCCCACTACCCAGCCTGGCCTGGCTCGCCCTCCTGCAGCAGGCTTGGCAGGATTTGGCCCTGGAAAGGCCCGGCCAGCTGGCCAGCTGGGAGGACTGAGCAGCCCCGGTGAGGGAGCTGTTCCCGTCCTGTGGCCGGCTGGCCTGGAATCTCAAGAGGGAGAGGAAAGAGAGGGAGAGAGGAAAGCATAATCACTATGCTTTAATTATGTTCAATTTTTAACAATGAAAATATATCCTGCATATCAGATATTTACATTGCGATTCATAACAGTAGCAAAATTACAGTTATGAAATAGCAACGAAAATAATTTTATGGTTGGGAATCATCACAACACGAGGAACTGTATTAAGGGATTGCAGCATTAGAAAGGTTGAGAACCACTGATCTAAGGATTACAAAGATGTATACAGAGTTTATTATATTAATGCTCTAAGTACAGGCAATCCTAGATCTAGGGACACAATTGGGACCAGAATTTCTGTTGCTAAGCAAGGTAGTTAAGTGAATTGCACCCAATTTTACATCTTTTTTTGCTTGTTGGAAGCTGCTGGGAAGATTGCAAATGATGGTCATATGACCCTGGAATGCTGCAAAATCATAAATGCATATCAATTGCCAAGCACCTAATCTGATCACATGATCATGGGTATACTGTGACAGTCATAAGTGCAAGGACCAATCATAAGTAACTTGTTCAGTGCTGTTGTAACTTCAAATCATTACAAGTCAAGGACTACCTGTGATATACATGTAACTCTTCTTTTCCCCTCCCTCCACAGCAATTTTATCTTAACAATATTGACTGAATGAAGATTTGAGCAGAAGTTTAATCCTATACATTTGCTATAAATATTGAAAAAAATTGTAAACACTATTATTCTCAGACCCTGCTCCTATTTCAGTCTATTTCCAAATGAGGGAACAAATATCTGAAATAGAGATAAATGTGTGCAAGGAAGACCATACCTTGACTAGCACCTTTTTTTTGTCCATAGCCCTCACCACTTCACCCACATAGGAACCCTGTTCCTGCAGGAGCTGCAATTCCTCACGAAGCAGGCGTACTAGAATATGTAAAGTAAAATAAATAATACATCAACATGGAGTGATTGAATAGATGGCAGAAGAATAAAACTTAAGTCAATGCAATATGAAGACAACTGGCTTGGTATTCAAATTGGCATTCAGATGTCTTGAACATTTCTAGTAGATAATTTCCTACTCATCAACTAAGCTACTCTCGTCATCTATCCTTGCCTAGAAAACCACATTTCTTTAAGCTTATAAAATACATAAGTTTATACATAAACTTCATATGTATAAAAATTTGAGGACTGCAAAGATATCTATTTAAATTAAAACTTATTTAACTAGTAAACCATTTGTTTCATAAAACTGTTCTGCTTATATTTAATATTAAAATAATTATATTTATTCATATAATTATGAATAAATATGCAGACCAATACCATTGTGCTCTATAGTATAAATTTGGTTTTAGCTATTTAGGAGATATAATATAAAACAAATATAGCTACATCAAGGTAAATGAATATTATTGGAGCTTAAAAACTGTCCCCAATTGTCATTATCAAGAAATCAGCCAAAATTTGTGTATCCTCATGAGCCAACTTCAAGCATCAGTTCCTTTCTAATTCTGTTATTTAAAAAATAACATGATATTTCTAGCCTAAAAGAATTTTATCTGTGTCATTAGTAAGTATCCATAATAATTATCTAGATTGTCTTATATCACTCTTGCTTCAAATACCATAGTCAATTCCCAAAATATTTATACAGTTTTGGTTATTCTGCTCTTTATTTCTTGGTCACAAAATCAATCCAAAGCACTATTCCCAACTTACCTTTGGCATTAAGTTCATTCCTCTGAGCCTGCAGACGCCTGAGATTCTGACTCTTATCATTGACTATCAACTTCAAGGAAAAGGAAAAAAGCAATACCTCATGAAAAACTAGGGCAGAAATCAATTACCATTGCTTAGAGGTCACAATAATAAAATAAAAAGCATAACTGCCCTGCTATAAGCATTACATAATCTGGAGCAAAAGAGTTTACAATGCATTTGTACCACTTTAAGCTATCCATTAAGACAATCAAAGGTAACTGCACTATTTCTATTCTAGTCTGGTATAAACTAGATAAAATACTAATAACCAAGTGTTATAGCTCTTATACTAGTAAGGAGTTCATTCCCCAGTTTATTTCATTTTTAGGACCATATGCACTGTGCCTTAAAAAGTCATATCAAATATGGTAAACATATGTCAAAACCCCATTTTTCCTGCATATTATTATACATACTTGTCTTTATTCACAATTATGAGCCCCAGAACAGGTTTTACAATCTACTGTTTCCTTTTGGAAGCATTAATGCAAATGCAACATTATGCTACACAAATTACCATCAGTCATAATGAAGATACAGTTGTAAGTTATCTAGAAATCACATTTCAAATCAACTACATTTTAAACGTTTCAAAGCTTAATCTATAATCTACCCATCAGAAGAAAATATCTATTTGCAAAGAAAACAACATTTTAACCTTTTAGGAAATCAGTAACTCTTACCTGCAGCTCCTCAATCTTGGACAAGTAATACTGACGCAACCCTGTCCCACCCTTGCCCTCATCCAGGTCCATCTGTCAAGGAAAAGCAGAACAGGATAAGACAGTGGTGGCAAACCTTTTAGAGACCAAGTGCCCAAACTGCAACCCAAAACCCACTTATGTATCGCCGGGTGCCAGGTGGGCATGGCCCACTGGGTAGGCACGGCTGTGGTGGGCATGGCAGACTGGGTGGGTGTGGCTAAGGTAGGTGTGGTCACACATAGAGGCCAGCGAGTGCATAGGGGCCGACAGTGTCTGTAGCAGCCACAGCCTGTTGGCCCCTCAAGCGGCACACTCTGGGGCTCCGCAGCCCGCCACCAGCAGTTCAGAGAAGCCACCTCTGAGCTGGACGGCTGGCCGACAGCCAGCTGAGGAGGCGATGCAGTGGGTAGTGCCCAGGAAAAGAGCATGCGAGGCCAGGAGAGATGGGACAGGGGAAGGAGGGAAACCAGCCATGCTGGGATGCATCCAGCCATGTGGGACCTCGGTGAGTTAGCAGGCAGCTGGTTGAAGAGGGATGGTTGCCATCTCTGGGGCATGGTGCATGTGCTCACAGAGAGGGCTCTGAGTGCTGTCTTTGGCACTCGTGCCATAGGTTTGCCACCACTGGGATAAGACAACCTCCCTTTTAAGTATAGCATTTCAGTCAGAGCACATGTAATTCCTGGCACCTTATAACTGCCATTTTATACTTCCTTTAGTCCCTAAGCTCTCCTTTTCTTTCTGTAAAAATAATTAATTTACATGTTTCACAGCTCCACTTCCACAGAAAAGTCCTCTTAAATAATAACCTGAATTAGCAACAACATGAAAATTCAAGGCACTTTTGTATTTTACCTCACAATATATCCACTTTCCCCACCTATCAATTTACTTGACTATCTGTTTCATTACAAACATTTACACTGCAGATGATAGCACAAAAATGCATCATGGAAATTCAATACAAGATAGACAGGTGTGAAAAAGGGCAGCCTATTATTCTTTTTGTGATCCCAAGGGTCCCCATCTCACCAAAGCCAAAAATATAATTTTTACAGTGGGAGGGCGGGGGAAGGTTTATGGCAGAAAGCAAAGTTCAAGACCCCTGTTAAAACTCCTAAATCCCATTTCCAAAGACTTAGCCCCACTTAGAATATCCTCAGCTCCCGATGTGGTTTTCGAGGTAGAGCGGATGTACACGAGCGCATCCGCAGGAGTAAACATACACATGAGACACATTCCCATCTCCCCCTTTGTAATTACTGCCCTCCTTGTAACTCCACCATCAACAAACGCCCTTCTAGACCGAAGCGCCATCCTCAGGCAGGCCCCACCTCCTTTCTATTGCTCTGCCCGGATACAATGAGCGCCCATTTATTTTCGAAGTTACATCTCTTCGACCTCTGTCCCACTTACTAACAGAACAAAAAATAGCCGCTGCCAACTCTCCCCTTTCTCTACCACTTGTTTTTATAAAGTGGCAGCAGCTGCTGTGACTCAGCAATCAGCAGGACTCGCTTACCTGCTCTGAAGTCTCGACCGCCATTTTCTTTCGCCGGTATCAATACTGGCCAGAAATGCGCGTGCGCTAATCGAAGATAGAAATAGCAGAAGCTCCTCCTTTTCTGGTTCTTGCCCTTAACAAACGGGGATTCCAGTGCTTCTCCCGTGGAGAGGTTGTCCCGGAAGTAGAGTCTCTACAGATACCAAAAAGAACGTTCTTTATAAACATTTTGATTCAGACGTAATTAAATTTAGAATTAAACTCGTTGAAAATATTGACTTCCTTAATTTCAGTCAGTAAGCAAAAAATTAAAGATTTCCCGTATCTCTGTGTTAACACGATTGGGCACATTATATATTTTCGTATTTTCTTCCGCCTGTTTTGGAGCAGAAGAGGAAAAAGGGCTACTGACACACACAAAATGGCTGAAAAAAAAAAACTTCGGACGGAAGTCTGGCACGAAAAAAAAAAGGAAGAGGAAGAACTACGAGGAGGGAGGCGGGTCCTAGTAGGTTCTGCGCACGTGTGATTCTGGTGCAGGAACCTCAATTTCTGGTCCAAGTTGCTGCGGCTGCTGATTTTTAGTCGAGATGGGCAAGAAGGGGAAAGTCGGAAAGAGCAGAAGAGACAAGTTTTATCACTTGGCCAAAGAGACCGGTGAGAAAATGGGGCGTTTAATACATTAAGTTCTTTTTTTGGCTTATTGTTCTTCGCATCAACTTTGGAGAGTTTGTTCGCCAGGAGACAAAAATATATTTCTGTCCCTACTGAGCGTTGATACTCGAGAGAAAGACATAGTCACCCTGACCACTCTCTTGGTGTCCTAGATTTGATCCTTTATATAAGAGAGTCTGGCGTGGTGTTTTGGCTAAATAGCTTTGAGTAAGTGTTTATTGGTAGTCAGATATCTATTGTCTCTTTCTGTCACATATTCATGATTGCCAATCAGAATGCAGGAATAAAAAAAAGTTTCCTGTATCAAATCCCTTCGTTATGTGACAAATTCCAACATGAGTGCTGGAAGAATGGAAGTTGTGACCGAATACAATATTAATGAAATCTCAGGGTTTTTTTAGTTGATTAAAAAAGCTAAAAGATGGTTTCAGCCAAAATCTCCTCAAAGTTATAATCAAACATTTGCCAGAGCAAAACAGTAACATCTGAATAAACATTCACCACAATGAGCAGGCATTCTCTTGGTTTAAAGCAATGTTCCCCAACGTGGTCAGTATCCGCCCCCAAGGTTTGATGGGACTATCTAAACCAGGGGTTCTCAACCTTTGCAACTTTAAGACTTGTGGACTTCAACTCCCAGAATTCCTCAGCCAGCCAATTCTGGGAGTTGAAGTCCACAAGTCTTAAAGTTGCCAAGGTTGAGAACCCCTGAAACTAAAGGGTCTAAAATGGCTGAGGGTCAAAAGGGGAGTCAAGTGGCTATTTTCCCATTGGAATCAATCTTTTGGAGTCTCTGTAGATCTCCATGCTAGTCCCTAATCCTGAAGTTAAAATGGCTAGCAATAAGGCAGGGTTACCCAGGGTTGGATGGTCAACTGTCAGTGAAAGCAGCCTTGTATTATCTTTACTGTTATCATTTGTAGTACTATTAAAGTAGTGTTTATTAAATTATTTGTATGTAATGTTTGAGGGTCAGTGAACAATCTGAAACTGCATGAAAGAGTTGATGAACTGAAGAGTTTGGGGACCCTTGCTTTAGAGGTATCTCATTTAATATGACTGCCTAATAGTGATAATGCCTCCCAAATAAATTCATGTAAGCACTTTGTTCAACTTTAAGTGCTTTTTGGGATCATTTGGATGGTGACCTGAATCATGGCATCATGATTCATTCTTTTTTTCTTTTTTTGGGGTGATGCCTCTGCTTATTTATTTACTTATTTGATATTTATTCCTCCTTACATTTAAGACCTCAAGGCATATATAGTGCTCCCTTTTCCATTCCTTCCCCAGCAACAACTTTGTGGGATAAATTGGGTTGAGAAAGAGAGTGGCCCCAAGTTGAGAGTGAACTTCTGTGACTGAGTTAGAGCAGAATCTTGAGTTTTTCTGCTCATAGTTTGAACTTAACTCTGTGGCACTATCATTATTATGCGGTTGGTGCTGGGCATGGTCTTTTTTCACCGGCAAGCATTGGCTTGTGTTTCTAACACAATAAATTAATTTTGAGATTCTAATTCATAGTTAGAATTTCCTTAAAGTTCATAGCTCACTCTTCAAATTGTTGGGATAGAGTTTGAGCCTCATAGCTATAGCTGGAATTGTGCCTGATGTTGACCTTTCTTTTCCAGGGTTTCGCTCCCGTTCTTCTTTTAAGTTGATTCAGTTGAACCGCAAATTCCAATTCCTCCCAAAGTCACGGGCCTTGCTGGATCTGTGTGCCGCTCCCGGAGGATGGTTAGTATCCAGTTCACGTATTTGTGAGTCTTTTCCTATAATAGAGCCCTCCTGTTCTTCATGCACATAGACTAGATACACCTAGAAAGTAGCCTTGTCACTGCTTCAAACTGTCCTCTTATAATATATTCTCCTTATAATATATATCCAATGAAGAATTAAGTGGATTATGAAAATTTGGCCATCTGGGGAAACAAGGCAATATTATTGTAGATTTTCTTTAAGTTCTCCAAATGCTTTAGAAGTGAGTCCACAAGATTAGGGCAAGTTAATGGTATAGGGTTTCTTACCTGAGCAGAGGGTTGGACTAGAAGACCTCCAAGGTCTCTTCCAACTCTGTTATTCTAGTCTTCTATTCTAATAGATAAGCCAAATGTATGTTCCCAGTCCATCAGTATGGCAAAATAGCTAGAACATACGCAAATGCATGATCGTGATCCCCAGGAATAGGAATTGCCTGTGTTCCTCTGCTGTTTTGAGTAAGAAAAGTATGGCTTGTACTTGTTTTGTTGAATCTTCAAAACCAATGAGAAATCTCACTGCTTTGAAGGGGAAAATACTTAGTATTTATAATTGCTAACATATTTTATATAAATATAGATGTGGACAATTGGTTTCTTATTTAGTCTTATTTATAATTCAGCTCTTGAAATCAGTGAGGCATAAATGAATCATGATATTGATTCCAGTGGAGCTACAGTGCCATAAATATAATTAAATCCAATAGTTTAAAAAACGAACCCTTCAAATATATCCAATGAACACTCTGGGAAGATTTCCAGGATTTTAAATTATTAAACATTAGGGCTCTGGTTAATTTTTTAATACAAGAAGTTTTATGCCAGATCAAGCCAAACATAAATCTATGTTTGCAGAGCGACCAGCAGGTGCTTTTGGGAAGCCAACATGATCCTGTTAACGTTTTCTGTACATCCTGCTGCCATTGGCATTCAGGGACTTAGTGCCTCTGATTCTGGAGGCAACGTATAGTCTTTAATAGCTTTGTGCTCATCCATGGATTTTTTAATGCCCTTTTCAAACTTTTTTGAATTGTTGCTGATTATTTGTCTTTTGTGGTCTTTTGATATTTAACTAAGTGCTATAGAAAAAAAGCATTTATTTTTGTTAGCTGATCCTTAATGCTCCTAATATAAGAGAGGAAGAAAAAAAAATCTTCCTTTGCATTTTATCCATACCATAATACGTCCTACAAAAACTATTTATTTTCTTTATAAAAGAAATCTAATTTGGCATGTAACCTCCATTGTGGTCTAAATATATTCAGCTTTAGTGGTTCATTGGGTAAGACTCTATGCTTTATTGAAAAGAAAAGTTCAGATTTTTCTGATTCTACCCTTTTAATATCAAACTAATTTGCTTGTGGCGTCTGGCTTGTAAAAATTTTAAAAATATTTTAAAATACTGTAAAATAGGCCAGAATTCACAGTTCTGTATTTTAGATGTGGATATGGAACAGTATGGAGTAATTTGTTTGATAACACTTCAACTAAGATTTGGACTATGAATTGTATAGACCACAGCTCATTCACTTCAAACGGTAGTTGCATGTTCTTCTGTTGACATTTAAAAAAATCTGTTCTTAACTTAAAACATATGATAAATTCATTCATTCATTCATTATTGACTGATAGATGCTCAGAGTTATATCTGATTCTGTTTTATCTACAGGCTGCAGGTGGCCTCAAAATTTATGCCAGTTTCCAGTCTTATTATTGGTGAGTAACCTGGATGGAGAAATGATCCGGGACAAAAAATAAAATAATTTTATGTATTTTCTGCCATGACCCACCAGATGTCTCCACTAGAATAAAGACGTGAGCTCTCTCTCAGTGCCAATACTGATTTCTACCAGCATGCTATCTAACACAAGTGCAACAAAAGCAAGGGGAAGGATATTGTGATTATAGGATAGTGACGTAGTATTTTAGAATAGTCAAAACATTATGGGTAGGCAAAGCAGTAGTTGAAGGACCTATACTTAAAACAATTTGATTGCTGAGGCCATAGGGAGCCTAGTGCAATGGAGTGACATCTCCAGAGAAGTGAGACTGAAAAGTTCTATCCTTTTTTATAGGAGGAGTTAGAATAGGAGGGTTATTTAAGGTCAAGTTAAAATTAATGGACTAAACCTAGCAGTAATTTAATGGACTTGTGTTAAGTCAATTTATATGTGTGTGTGCAATTACTGCCAATTTTTAGCCAAGTTGCCTTGAAGTAATCCAGAAAGTGGAGATTGCATGGCATTTATGGGCACAGGTTTTTGTCACTGATGTCCAGTATTACTTGCATATATCATATAGACCAGCTGTTCCCAACCTTTCTTGCTTTGCGGCTTGGTGGCATTGACAGAGGCGCGAGGGAGAGGGGACAGTTCTGCGTGAGTAGCAGGCACAAGTGCTTGCATGTGCAGGTCCATTTGTGCAAGTGGTGAGCATGTGCATCCACTGCAGCACAAATGGAGCTTCACATGCAAGTACGCTCACTCACCACTTGCATCACCCAGTTTTGAATGAGTTTTGGCCCAGTACAGGGCAGTGGCCTCGGGTTGGAGACCCTGATACAGACTCTTAATGTAATAATATGTGCAGATCTAAGCAGTATGGTCCTATTATTCAGATTTGTAAGATAAGAGCCAATTTGGTCTACTGGTTAGGGCACCAAGCTAGAAACCAGAAAACTCTTTTGAGTTCTAGTACTGAAGCCAGCTGGGTGAGTTTAGTACTGAAGCCAGCTGGGTGAGTTTGGGCCAGTTACTCTCCCTTAGTCCATGATATCAGGCTTGGGTGACAAGTCAGTAGATCAATTTCTTTAGCAGCAGTGGCTCAACATTTTGTGTGAATAAAGCAGACCTTGCACTTGTAAGAAAAATGCTAGAAAGAAACCAAAAATAAATTTACAGGTAGTCCTAGATTTAAAATTTTTAGTTCAGCAACTGTTCAAAGTTACAACACCAAAAAGAAAGCCTTATGACCAGGCTTCACATAGTTCTCATAGCATCCCCATGGTCATGTGATCATATTTCAGCATTTGGCAATCTGCATGTATTTATTATGGTTACAGCATCCGAGGTTCATGGGACTGTCCTTTGCAACCTTCCCAGTCTGCTTCTAGTAAGTCAGAGGTAGGAAACCTTGGCTCTTTTATGACTCGTGGACTTCAACTCCCAGAATTCCTGAGCCAGCATGGCTGACTCAGGAATTCTGGGAGTTGAAGTTCACGAGTCATAAAAGAGCTGAGGTTGCCTACCCCTGCATTAAGCATTGGGGGAAGCCAGACTCACTTAGAGACCATGTGATCCAATTAATTGGATTGACTTAACAACTTCAGTGATTTGCTTAACTGGTAAAAGTCATAAAATTGGGTACAATTCAGTTAACAACAGCCTTAGTACTGGAAATTCTGGTCCCAGATGTGGTTGTAAGTTGAGGACCAGCTGGTGTATAGGAACTCCAATTAAAAGAACAAAATTAAACTCAAGGTGCTGTATAACATTTAAAACATCACAGGAACATGTAACAAAATTTTAAAAAATAGGGTGGATTTGAGAAAGACAGGGAAAAAAGCCTGTAATGACAGCTTCGATAGCTATCTTGTTAGCTTTTTTATTCTCCCTTCTTCTATCTTTAGGGGTTGATCTGGTTCCCATCAAGCCCATTCCTAATGTGGTAACACTGCAGGAAGACATCACTACCGAGAAGTGTCGCCAGGTAATTATTTTGTATGATTCCCAGATGCTGTTGCCTTGACAGCAGCTAGTTTTGGCTTCTGCTTCCCCTGCTCTTGCCAGCTTCATTCACAGGTTTTCATCATACAAGGATTGCCATGGACAAAGTCTATCTGAGTGGTCGCTAGGAGTCAAAAAGAACTCAATGCATGTAATCCGTGAAATAAGCAAGTAAACAAATCCTAGTAGACTTTATGTTGTTAAAATATTGGTACTGTAAAAATTGCATAATTAGTCTAAGACCTCAGACAGAAAATAGTATTAATTTTAAAAGCAGGCTAAAATATTGCCTCGTGTCTCCATTGTCGTCACTTGCCACAAGATGGCAGTGATTTACCATTGATAGTATCAAAAGTTTCTTAGCACAGAGCTTCAGCATTTATTTAGCCTTTTGATGTTACTTAGGCTGTCTTTCTCCCCAGACTTTGCGCAAGGAGCTGAAGACGTGGAAAGTGGATGTTGTGTTGAATGATGGGGCTCCCAACGTAGGTGCCAGTTGGGTACATGATGCCTTTGCTCAAGGTATGGAGGCCTCTTCTAGAGGAGGAAGAGAAGAAAACAGGTTTTGGGGCTTTGCAGAATAGACACTGATCAATATAGCCTAAATTTTAAGTTGGGTTTTACAACAAACTATCTTGTACATCTAATTTGATGCAGGAGCAATACTAAATGACATGTAAACATGATATGCCTGATAGCCCAGTACTTATGTTTGTGCCGTGCTACCCACAAGCTATGTTTAGTTCCACTTGTTCAAAAATCACATTGTTGAAATTTGGTATTGTGGTTTCTGTCTGTTTGCTTAGGCACTTAAAATATGGGAATTAATAGGTTGTTTTTCTACACTTAAATCTTTCACCCTTCTAACCCCCCTCTACCTCTACACACATACAGAGCAGAAAGATTGGGGAGGTTGCTGGCAACAGGAAAGTTAAAGCAAAGGAGAGTTTGCCTACAGCAATAGTTTGCTTTTTTTCTCTCCTCCCTTCAGAGTGAAGAGATTGGAGAGAAGGAAAGAAAGTGCTTTCAAGAGACCAAGCTGTTTGCATAGCCTGTGACACAATTTGCTTGTTTTCATTGTGTTCAAGACTAATCAGGCACTTAAATTTTCCAAAGAGTGGGGGAATGGTTAGTGTGTAAACAAAAGCCAAAGATGTGAAATTCACTCTTTTCCACCTGGAAAGCACAGTCATGGCCACATGATTCTCACTTAGTAACTGCTTTGCTTAGTGGTAAGGTTTACAGTCCCCATTGGGTTGTTAAGTGAGGACTACTTGTGTGAAAAAATCACATTTGTTAATATCATTATGGATCTAATATCTTGTTAAGCTCACTGTGATGAATCGATGAACAATTGTAGGAACCAAGTATGTCCACTCTAATGAAGAGAAGGGCTAGAGGTCCTGATATATATATATATGTATGTATGTATGTATATATGTATATACGTATATATGTATATATGTATATATGAAAACACCAGCCTGAAAATGACGAAGGGGACTTCGTCGAAACGTCGCCAAGAAACTTCCAATTTTACGCGGGAGAAAACCGGAATAACCAAAGACCTACACACACACACACACACACACACACACACACACACACACACATATAATATTGCTAATTTCGTTAAAAACACGAATCCTGGGTAGAGTCATACTATAAAAAAACAAATAAACACGGACACCAGGAAAAATTTAAACTAAAAATGTTTAATCTAATGCCAAGCTTTCGTTGGCCAACTGCCGACATCATCAGGGCTTAAAGCCAGTCGATGGGAGTCTCCTTTATAGTGCTAGTCAGTTTTTGCGCCTGGCTCCTAGACCTCGTCACCGGTCCTAATTGGTTGGGCTGCGTATTGGTGGTATTCTTGATGTTGATTGAGGCTACAGTTCCGTTACTTGCTTCCCTTCCTCCACTCTCCTCCTTTTTCCATGTGTTGTTATCTGTCTCCTCACTGCAGGCTCCTAAGTTCAGCGTATTTCTTCCCCCCCTTTTTTGGCCATTCATTTCCTCTGTATTTTCCCAGTTGTTCCTTCTCACTCCTTTGGGGTGTGTTGTTCCCCCTGGGTGTCCTAAGGAATCTGGGGGACCTCCTGCTGTGTTGTATTTTGTTCTCTCGTTTAACAGCTCTCTTGTTCTTTTGGAACGTGCACATACCCCAGGGAAGGGGTTTCTGTTGGTTGTTTATTGGCAACCACTATCTGATTGTCCGTGGGTTGCAATGACACTTTCACTTCCTCTGTTGTCCTGTCTCCTTGATCTTGTGGCACATAGCTGGATTGTTTTTGTTGGGATGTATGATTTTGTTTATCCCACACTCTCAATGCCTGGTGTGCCGGGCAGAGTTCTGTATGCTGATTTATTGAATTTTTATTGGAGAGCCAAGCCTCTTTAAGTAGGAGGCCTCCTTTGGTGGTGTCACTGGATAGGGTATGCACATCGTTAAAGTTGAACGATGTGCATAAAGTCATGGCCAAGACTCGCAGGAGTCTTCTCCAGCACCATAGTTCAAAGGCCTCAATTCTTTGGCGCTCAGCCTTTCTTATGGTCCAACTTTCACATCCATACATTGCAACTGGGAAAACCATGGCCTTGACTATACACACTTTTGTTGGCAGGATGATGTCTCTGCTTTTTAGTATGCTGTCTAGATTTGCCATAGCTTTCCTCCCCACGAGCAAGCGTCTTTTAATTTCTTGGCTGCAGTCCCCATCTGAGGTGATCTTGGAGCCCAGGAAAATAAAATCTGTCACTACCTCCATTTCTTCCCCATCTATTTGCCAGGAATTGAGAGGGCTGGATGCCATGATTTTGATTTTCTTAATGTTTCAAGTCAACTTTTGCACTCTCCTTCTTCACCCGCATCAAGAGGCTCTTTAGTTCCTCTTTACTTTCTGCCATTAGAGTGGTATCATCTGCATATCTTAGGTTGTTGATATTTCTCCTGGCAACATGTCCCAAATCTATTGTCCAGGTAACCATCGTTTCTTTCCTCATATAATTTATATTCTAACATGTATTTATATATATTTTTAATTTGTTTTCTCTCCAAGCCTAGTAGTATTTTGTCAAGCCTTGTATCTTGTCTATTAATTCCCCACTCTTTCTTATCTTTCACATATCTTGCTTGCATCTGAAGGTAGAACCACCATTCCAAAACTATTTCCTGTTGTCTCAACTCTTGTCTTTGCTTTAGATGGCCTTCCTCTGACAGAATATCTTTATATGTAATGACCTTATCTTGCCTGTATAAATTGAGGTATGTAACTACTTCTAATGGTGAGAGCCAACCTGGAACTCCTATGTAATGTTGGCTTTTAACTATGTTCCAACTTTTTATGAGTTCTTGCCGAACTTTGTGCCTCAAGAAATATTGATGGTTCCTACTTTTCCCTGTCCATAAGTGAGCATTCCAGCCCTTGGAGGTCATGCCCCTCTAGATATAGACATCTTTTGTTTTCCAGAGTAATCCAATCCCTAATCCACGTCAGGGCCACTGCTCGATAGTACAGCTCCCAACCCGGAAAGCCTAATCCCCCTCTCTCTTTAGCATCCTGTAAAGACTTTTGTTTTATTCTCGCCTTCTTTCCTTGCCACACGAAATCTAAAATTAATTTATTCAACTCTTTAAAAAAAATTATGGAAAGTTAGTAAAGCACATAAAAGTTGACTTAGATCGCTAGAGAAAACTACACCTCTCGTTTCTTGGGAGAATCTCAGCAGTGAAAATGAATATTTTACCCAAAATGATATTCTTGTTTCAAAATATTCCAATCCAACTAGATCAGTTTTCTATATTTGAGGGGCTCCACAGAGAGGAAAGGACTGACCTATTCTCCAAAGCATCTGAAGGCAAGACAGAAAGTAATGGGTGGAAATTTATTAAACAGAGATCCAACCTAGAATTAAGGATAAATTTCCTAACAATGAAAACAATCAGTCAAATGGTTGTCCTCTAGAACAGAGGCCCCCAATCTTTTGAGCACCAGGGACTGGTTCCGTGGAGAGAGGTTTTTCTACAGACTGGAGGAAGCGTGGTTTCATGTACTGCCTGCATCTCGTGGATAGAGCTTTGCTTGTTTGCGCAACCAGTTTCTGGCATGCCGCGGCCCGGTGCCAGTCCTTAGACCCAGGGTTGGGGATCCCTGCTCTAGAAGTTGTGAGTGCTCCATCACTGAAGTTTTTATAAAACAATTGGATAGCCATTTATACAGAATGGTATAGAGCAGGGGTCCCCTGTTGGCCACTGGGCCCTGGGAATAACTGATGAGCCCCCCACATGGATGCTAGCAACCATATCTGCGCATGTGTGTGGATGCTAGCACTGCTGCCAGCATCACATGGGCTTCAGCGGCCCATTTGCACATGTGCATGGGCACCAATAGCTCATTTGTGCATGTGTGTGGGTGCTAGCGCCGCTGTTGTGCACACGCCTGTTTGTGCATGCGCATGCAGGTTGCACACATGCACATTTCTCTGCTGCTCCATTTTCTTCCAGGCCGCCAAGCTGGAAAGATTGGGGAGCTCAGGTACAGAGCAAGGAATTGGACTAGAAGACCTCCCTTCCAACTCTGTTAAATTGTTATTGTTACAAGTTTTCCCAAAAACTTGATTTTTGGAATCAAAAATTTTTGGAATTCAAAAAGCTTGAATTTTATTATTGGCAAGACATACTGTCAGTTGTTTTCCTTGAAGTGATAGGCCTACTTGATTCATTTTCAAGAAAATGTCTGGATCCCTTTGTCTGAATATCCATAATTTATTGTCAGTTTTTCTTTCATGTAAAAACAGTGTTCTATGAGTTTAGCTTGCAATTCAATGAAACAAGTTATTTTCCATCAGTTGTATTTAAATATGCTGAAGGAATGTTTTTTGCATACTTTTCATTTCATTACATAGAATATTAGAAGATACACTCAACATTTAATAAAATAATTTTACTGCTTCATCAAGAATATTCTTAAGTGAAATTACCCCTTTTTTAAAACTGAAAGTGCTTGATGGTGACAGATATAGTCATTGCCTTGATTTGTGCTAAGGCCTCAGCAGTTTTATTCACTGAGAGTAAAAAAGCAAACACATCTTAATATTATTATGAAAATTGTTTGATCTCATGGACTCCCTAATGTTTCCTAAAGTATTCTATAGAACTCCCATTTACATAAAGAGAGCTAATGAGGGTGCAATGGCTTAGTAGTTAAAAATGATGAGCAGATTGTCAGCTGGAAAGCTGATAGCCTGGGTTTGAGACCTAAATGCTCTACAATGGGATAAGCTCCCATTACTTGCCCCAGCTCCTGTTAACTTAGCAGTTTGAAAGCATGCAAATGCAAGTAGATAAATAGGTACCATTTCAGTGAGAAGGTAATAGTGTTCTGGGTGCCTCAGTGTATAGTTATGCTGACTGTATGACCACAGAAGTATCTTTGGACCTGTCTCTCTTGGCTAAGAAACAGAGATGAGCACTGCCCCCTAGAGTTGGACAAGACTAGACAAGAGAAATCCTTACCTTTACCTAAACAAAGCTAATATGCATATGAAAAGACAATACTACATAAGCAAATATGCTAATAAAGCCAACTAAGCTGGGCTAAATTAGACATGCAACATACAGCATAGGCAGTCCTTGACTTATAATTGCAATTGAACCTGGAATTATGGTTCAAAGCCATGCCAGTTGCTAAGCTGGTCATCATGTGACATTACCTAATTTTAGGACCTTTTTTGTGGTGATTGTTAAACAAACTCTTTGAATCAATTTTTTGCCAGAAATGAGAAGTAAACAATCATAAATCACAGTCATATAACCACAGGACACTGCAAATGGCCATAAATGTGGGCTGGTTGCCAAGCACATTTAATCACATGACCATAGGGGAGGAGGCAGCTGTCAAAACTTTGAAGCTAAGTCATAAGTAGCTATTGGGTGGTTCATTGTAACTTTGAAAAGTCGTTAAGCTACTGATTGTAAGTCAAGAACTACCATAGTATAAAATAAATGATTTCAGCCTGATTTGATCATTATAGCCCAGCTAGGTTGCAGCACCCATATGTCCTTATTTCAAAAAGCTAAGTAGAATGTCATTTGGTTTGTGTTTGGATGGGAGACCTTCAGGAAAATACACAGCCTGTGAACTAGACTAGGAAGTTGAAAAAAATGCCCTGGAAGAAGGTAGTAGCTAATCAATTCCAGATACTTTAAAACTTACCAAGTGTTAAACCTAAATCATGGGAGATTTTTCTTTTTGGCACACCATATGGGCCAAGATTGAATCTTGCAAAATAATGATCAAAAGGTTTTGGGTTCTTCTTTAAATACAAATTGTTAGCTGAGCAACATCATTTACAGCCTTCATTTAATGGAATTTGCCTGAACTTATAGGGCTATACCTGTTCCAAAAGGCCAGACAGCACCCTGTAAGGAGTGCTCTGTCTTCCTATTGTGGTCAGATGCCAGTCAACAATGTGGTCTTCATTTTTTTATTTAATAATATTTTATTAGTTTTCTAATTTTACATTTAAGTATTTAGAAAGCAACGTGATGGCTGGATTAAACAATAGTTCAATAACAATTATTTCTCATATAAAGAAATAGGAAAGCAATTACCTACATATAGCTCTGAAAGTCAGTGAAGTTTTACATTCATAGTTCAAGCAGGCCAATTATGCTGCACAAAAATTCTCTTTACAGCTGAGTTTCTCACAGGTGGTATTTATCTAGGTCAAAAGAGTTTTATCTGAAGTCTGGGCTTCAAGCCAAGTCTCTTTTAGGCAATAACAAGTTGTAATACCATACTTCGTCACAAGATGTCACTGATACCATTTAAAATTTTTAAGTCCAAAATTTTTATAATTCTTTTTCTAGTTTAATTTTTTTTTTTTTTAGATAAAAACAAAAGTCTCCAGTAAGAATAAGAACACTTTTGGTCCCCAAATTTCAGAAACATATCGATCCAATTAGATTAAAATTGTTCTTATAGTGCTTTAATTCCCCTGGGTAGTCAGTCGCCGCTGTTCTTAGAGGGTCGGGTAGAAATTCCCTTCCCTCTCTCCTCACAGGGGGAAAAAATATTTTGGGCAGTTTTTGCAGGAAGAAAAAAATACTTAAGCTCTTAAAGAGAAGATCAGATCTCACCCAGTTTCATCCGTGTTGCTTTAAAGGTGCTTGATGGTAAGTTTGACTTCGGCTGTCAACAGCTTAGTGACGAGCCATATTGCTATGGCTGATCTTTCCTCCGCCAGTTTGGAGGGCTGCCACGGATCAAGCAGAAGGGCGGCCGCCCTCCCGCGATCAGGGGGCGTCCCCTCCTTGCTCGTTGCCCCTACAGGGCAACTTTCAGCCCTTTCCAGGGTCCTCCAACGTAGCAAAATCGAATGTGGAAGACGGAGCTTGCCTTCCAGTGTCCGCAGAAGCCGCGATGGCAAACCAGAAGTTGTGGTCTGCATGTTTAACAGCTTCAGCAGTGATGCTACTCACTTTCTCCCTCTAGCTCCCTTCTTGATTGCCCCAGTAGAAGCAAATAGCTACTTGGCTACTTGGAGGCTTGAAATAACTCCTTGTCATTTAACTGAATTTTGTGTTAATATGCAAATAACACATTAAATTAATTTTGTTTCCCATTTTTAGTACAATAATTGAACCTAAACTTTTAGCTATCTCCGTGATTCTAATTCTGAAGAACAAAGATTGTTTTGTTGATCATCAGGGTTATTCTCTGGGTTTAAATCATTTTTCTTCTCTTGCCTCTAATCACAAAGAATGGGTTTTGTCTTCTGTTGAAATTTTATCAGAAAAATGGGCTATAAATGGCATTAAATAAGCATCTTGCCATCCTTATAACCCTTCTGTGTAATGGATGGTGAGTTTTATTATCTTTATCTTGTGATGATGCAGTTGGAATGAATGTACAACTGATGGCAGTTTAGAGTTAATTTGCAAGCTCAGAGGCTAATCTAACTTTTCCTTAGCTTTGTTCCTTTTCTCTCCTCTCTGTTCCACCTCTCCTGACAGCAAGCCTTACACTATCAGCCCTGAAACTGGCCTGTGACTTCTTGTCAAAGGGTGGCTGGTTCATCACCAAGGTCTTCCGTTCCCGGGATTACCAGCCCCTTCTGTGGATCTTTCAGCAGCTGTTTCATAAAGTGCAAGCCACTAAGCCACAAGCCTCACGTAACGAATCAGCTGAGATCTTTGTGATTTGTCAGGGTGAGTGGATTGCCAGCTGGGTGGCAAATGAATCTGGTTGATTTGGCAAATCCAGCATAATACAGATAACATTTGCTTTGTTATCTGCAAGTGGGGTTGCAGGATATATTTCTATTTATTTATTAAATGTATATGCCAACCAGTCTACAATGCAGAGCAACTCTGGGCTGGATATACAAAAGTTGTTGATGGATAGAGGATTCTCTGCTGCCATTGTGGCCAAAATAATCTGCAGTCTGAAAAAGGATGTGACAAATCACCATTTCTAATTATTCTAGTATGATAGAACTATCTTGTAAATAGTTCTGTTAATTTGTTTCCCAAATTCTCCAAAGCATGGCTTGAAAGCATGTGATGAGAAAAAAGTGATCATTTTAATGGATAGTGAGTTGCTTGGTTACGAATACCTCTTGTCTCTTTTTAGGTTACTTGGCTCCAGATAAAATTGACAATAAATTTTTTGACCCCAAGTTTGCTTTCAAAGAAGTGGAGGTGCAGGCCAAGTCTGTGACTGAACTGGTGTCCAAAAGGAAGCCAAAGGTCAGTATGGGGGACATTGCTGTTTCTCCAACAATAGCTATTGAGAGAGCTTCTGTTGATAGTTTGAGAAGAGTATTCATTATGAGTGGAAATAATGATTGAAAGGTGGAAAGGTTTGGTGTTTAGACTACCCATTTTGCTCTGTTTTACTTGTGATTAGGCTGAAGGATATGAAGATGGAGCCACAGTTCTTTATAACCGCTGCAGTCTGACAGATTTTCTAAAAGCTTCCAATCCAGTGGACTTCTTGGCCAAGGCCAGTGAGGTAAGGATTTGTGCAGCAGAGGTGGAAACTTTTAAGAGTGTGGATGGGAACGCTGGATTTTGAAAGTTGTTAGGTTATCAAGATGTCACTATATTAGAAAGCAGAGAATTCTGGTTAGGACAAAGTACCAGTGAGGGAAACCTTTCCAATATTTTTCTCCTCTCTGCCTTATCTCCTAGATTGTCTTTGACAATGAAGACTTGAAACATCACAGTGCAACCAGTGAGGAAGTGCGTCATTGTTGTCAAGACATCCGTGTTCTTGGACGTAAGGAGCTCCGGTATGGGAGTTGACTTATATTATAAGAATAGGATGTAAGAAGCTAAGGAGGAATAAGGTCCATCCTAGTCTCCTAATTATAATCACCTGAGTATCCCAATAATTTCATTTCAGTCATCCCCAGCCTATAAGCAACCAATTAAGTTTCCTGCTTGTGAGGTTTCTGAGACCCAAGAATGATATGTGTAGACTCTCACTGTCTTCTGCTCCTTGCTTAGGGCCCTGCTGAATTGGAGAACAAAATTGAGGCGGTTTCTGGTAAAGAAGTTGAAAGAACAAGCTAAGGAAATAGATATCAAGTAAGTGAATTCGACCCAACTCTGGAAGTTTAGCTTGCAGTTTACTGGCTACAAAACAGGGGACTCATCTTGGTTTGATGGGCCTTCTTGCCTGACCATAGCTTGGTACAAGCTTATGGCCAAGGGAGAGATGGAGGGCAGAACTATTTTGTTCAATTTGCTAAGACACAGTTCTGTTGGATTTTTTCCCTTCCTCAACTAATTTTCTGCTTGCTTATTGTCTAGTTTTGACTGTAAATTTCAGTAAATCTCAATAAAGTATTTTCAGCTTTTTTTTAATTAAGAAAAGATTTTTATTTATGTAATTCAATTTCTGTAGCTCCCCACCTCAATCAAGTGATTCTGGGTGGCTTACAGTTCAAAAGATGTCTCTTTTTTGCCATTTCTAGTTTAAGTTCTGATGAGGCGGAAGAAGGAGAGGAAGAAGTGCAATCCAAGCAGACAGCTCCAGAAATTCAAGAGAGAGGAGAAGAAGAAAAAGAAGCTGAAGAATTAGAATTACAACTTGCTCAGCTCAAAGCTGAGGAGATAGCTGAACTAAAGAGGTGAGTTTGGAGAAAGCAACAAGTCCATTTTGGAATTATCCTTTGCCTATCTATTAATAAATGACTACAATAAGAAATCAAGCTTCGTATAAAGACAAATACGGGAAATATGTTAACTGCATATTTAAATTTGTTTAGGTACTATAGTTTGACTCAGAATTCAGATCAGTTTTCTCAACTTAGAGTCTGTCATATGTTGGACTAGAAATTTAGTCCAGTTGGAGAAGTGTTTGGGATTTGTGAGGTATTAAGGATACTTGCTTCTTATAACCCCATATTGAAGATCTGAGTCAGAATCAATATGTTTGTAAAGCTATCTCAAGCAAGAGTTATGAAGTGGAAATTGTGGACATCATCATAGTAGTCTGAGAACTAGAATCTTGAAAAGTCCTTTTTTTTGTCCTCTAATCCTTACCTTTAATATGGATTTGTGAAAACGCTCAAAATTCTAGGGAAAATTTGTGTTTTGAAGCATTTCCCTTCTTCAACCTAATTTTTTTCAAGAGTTGACATTTTAGAGAAAAGTAGAAATTCTGTAAAATAGGTTCTGGTTTAGAATGTGTGAAAAACTTAGAGTAGGATTTCCCTAATTCAAAATGTATAGCATGCTGATTCACACTGCTCAAGATGAATCATATTTGAAAAAGTTGGGATAAAATCTATCATCATCTAGAACAGAGGTCCCCAACCTTTTGGGCACTAGGGATCGGTTCCATGGAGAGAGTTTTTTCTGCAGACCGGAGAGTGCGTGGTTTTGTGTGCTGCCTGCATCCCGTGGATGGGGCTTTGTTTGTGCGGACTAGTTGCTGGCATTCCACGGCTCAGTACTGGTCCACAGACCAGGGGTTGGGGACCTGTAATCTAGAGCAATGGTGGTAGAACTCAAGATGAGGTTGATAGGATTTGTGGTAGGTTTACAATCTCCTTTTCTCACATTATAAAAGTTACTCTGTTTTCATATTTTAATCACCTTTTTTCTTTAAGGTTTAAGGAACTGGGAAGATGAAAAAAAGTGGGATGAGTGAATTGGGAAGTCAGTCCCTCTCCCCCCTCCTTTACATGAGCATGCATATATATATATATATATATATATATATATATATATATATATATATATATATATATATAATATATACATACATACATACATACATACATACATACATACATATACATACACATATATATATATATATATATATATATATATATATATATATATATATATATATATGGTGAGAGTAAAATATGATCACCAGGAAAAGTTAAAACATTAAAAGTTTTAATATAAAACAGAAGTTTTACATAAAAACATTAAAAGTTTTAAAAATTAGCAACCTAGCTTTCGTTGGTTCCTGCCAACTTCATCAGGGCGTATACAAATCAATGGGAGTAAACATTTATATGTAAGTTAATGCCTGCGCTCAACTCCTGGATCGTGTAATAGGTCCAGGTCGGCCAATCATAGCATTCACTGCAATTGCTGCATGATTGAGTGACTCATCTACTTGTATCACGCGTCCCTCATCAGAGTTTAAACAAGCCTCCGACTCTCTACTCATCCGTATCCGTGGTCTAGGAGGATCCTCAATCTTATTCCAACTCGAGGTGTCATCCCCACCACCAAGTCGTCTCCCCCATCTCTCTTCCTTTGAACTCTCAGTGAGTTTAGGGCCAACATGATTTATAGTCCAACTCCCACAATGGGTTGGCAGTTGCTCAAAAAAAGGGGAGAGCAACTGTTACGGAACTTAGCGAGGCTGGGAAAGCTGGGAAAATAGTGTGTGGGGGAGAACCATGCAGCGAGAGCACAAGTACATTACCCAGATTAAGGCTTCGTTGTAAAAAACATCATGATGTTAAGGGTAGATGTCAGAATGGTGGAGAAGGGGAGGGCCCTAAACTCACGGAGAGTTCAAAGGAAGAGAGAAGGGGGAGACGACTTGGTGGTGGGGATGACACCTCGAGTTGGAATAAGATCGTGTATCCTCCTAGACCACAGATACGGATGAGTAGAGAGTCGGAGGCTTGTTTAAACTCTGATGAGGGACGCGTGATACAAGTAGATGAGTCACTCAATCATGCAACAATTGCAGTGAATGCTATGATTGGCTGACCTGGACCTATTACACGATCTAGGAGTTGAGCGCAGTCGTTAACTTACATATAAATGGAATCATGCTTCTATTTTTAATATTATATATATATATATATATATATATATATATATATATATATATATATATATATACACATACATACATACATACACATACACACATACATACACACACACACACATATACATGCATCCCATATATTTTTCTACTTTCTTGCATTCTGTGACCACTGAGAATTCTGCATAGATTTAGTGTGGAACGGAGATCCATCTTTGATCCGTTTTTCTCCAGCACCCTGCTGATTTGCCCTGATCACCAATTTCCAAGCCTTGGGGTTCTTGCAATATTAGTTTCCCCCACTTTTTGTTTTGGGCCATACTTCATCCTCAGACCAAGTCATAATGCAGAATGGACTCATGTGAAGTACTTCAAGTTATTAACCTTTCTCTTCATCATTACCAGGAAAAAACGTAAAATTTTGCGTGAGCGCAGGCGCCAACGAGAACGTGTTGAACTGAAGATGGATCTTCCTGGAGTTTCTGTTGCAGATGATGGGGACACTGGGATGTTCTCTCTCAGGGCAGTTGGCAAAAACCAGGTAATAGAGAAGATCTGAGAACATGCCAGTTGGTTAGGAGGTGACACTGAATCCGGGTGAATAACCTGAAATTGTGTCTCACTCAAAGAACAGGCATCTTGAGATTGCTGGAAATTGAAGCTTGATCAGTGTTTGGAGGTTTATATATCAAACACACATATGCAGCATTCAGTGAAAAAATAATCACCAAGGAATTGGGAATGATTGTATAATCTACATTAAATGACAAGATAGCACACAAAGAATATATTATTAATGCTCTAGGATTTTGAACACAATATAGCCAACTTTTGTTTGAATACTTTCTCTCTCTCTCTCTCTCTCTCTCTCTCTCTCTCTCTCACACACACACACACACACACACACACACACACACACACACATCTTTTCTGCCTCATTAGCAGACTGAACCAGCCATGAAGGAAGAATGAAAGCAGTGTAAACAGTGCCCCCAATTCCCAGACTCCACAAGTGAGCCAGAAAGATACCCAAGTCTTAATACGTTTCTGCCCTTTTCTTTATTTTTATTTACGGGCAACATGCCCACATTCAAATATTTTAATTAGTCATAAAGCTTTTCAGTGTCTATGATACTGAGCCTGGTTTTGGCAAAAAGGAAAAAAAAATCTTTAAGAGCATCACATCATCCCATTCCATCATGGAAGCTCACCTTACTATACAAACACAAGTATGCACTCTAGCAGATTTTAGAAGAATTAATCACAAATGCTTACCATACCATCCCCCCAAAAGTCCTTGCCCACATGCTCAAATTAGCCTCACCTATCTTGCACCTACTATGGCTCTGGATGTTCAAAAAGTATTTCATTTGTTTATGCCGACTCTTGACAGAAAATATCATCTAAAAGGATTAGACTATGTGATCATCACCACCCCTCTTGTTTGCTTCCAGCTACTGCATGAATTGGTCCAGGGTGACATGGCAGCTGCAGATGCTTTTGTGGCATCATCCGCAAATGCTGACGATGACCTCTCTCTCTCTGAAGAAGGAGGCTCTGATAATGACGTCTCCTTGGCCAGTGACTTGGATGATGAGGAGATGGCAGAGGTTGAGGAACGGGCCAAGCAATTGAAGCAGGCCTGTGTCTCAGAAAGGTAACTGAAGGTGCCAGAGAATTGATTCCAGTGTGGTGGTTGCTCTTTGATGAAATTGGCTTTATTTAAGTGGTCTTTCTGTGGAAACGATGTTAATACTTTTTCAACATGGAAGAATTGGAAGTCAGGGAGGGAAAGAAAGCTACATCTGGGAAAACAATTGTGGATTCTCTGAGTGCTTACACACATGCTGAGCCACAAGAATACACCCAACCCAGTTCCTCAAATTTGCTGGAAAGGTCCATTTGACTTAACTAGGCTGCTATTTCATGGGACTTTGAGAGTTAATTATATTTGTTGCTTTTGCATACCATTCCATGCTCTTTACAGATTTATTATCTCTTATTTTCATCATCATCATTATTATTATTATTATTATTTGTTTTGCAAGTTCACTGAGTGCTTCTGTACCAGAGACAAAATTTAACTACATTTGGCAAAATATTCTATTTTATTTTATTCTATCATTATCATAATTAATTAGTATTACTAGTAGCAAAGTAGTAGTAGTAGTGATGGTGTTATTTAAAAAGCATACCCTAATCCTAGTATATCTCCAATACTGTAGCAATAGTGGAATTTCGAAAGGTTCAGGTGAAGAGAATATTGGTCTGTTTGCTCAGTATGGATGAGCAATATTTCAAGCATGAATCTCCTCCATTTCTACTTGGAGACACTGGGGACTGAAATAAGGACTTGTTGCATGCAGGTTAGATGAGCATAAGAAAAACAGAGAGCAATCCAGTTATTCCTCAATAAGTGATTAAGATGGGATTTCAATGATTAAGAGCAGTTCCTGAATTTTCCTGGCAGCGGTTTAAGTATGCCTTCATTACCACATTGATCAAGTAGAAAGGTGTCAATGCCTTCCTGCAGCATTGTTTTATTTGTTTCAGAGTTGCCCCTGAAGATGAGATGGAGGAAGACAATGCTGAAGGAGGAAACCCTCTGTTAGTACCACTGGAGGACAAGGAAGAGCGTGAGCAGCATCGGATGAGCTTATGGTTTGGCAAAGTGAGTAACTTTGCCCAAGAGTGTAATGCACCCTTCCCTAGCATGGTCATTGCCAAGAATTCTGGAAGTGGAAAGTCACATAGGTAGAGAGCATTCAAGTTGGGAAAAGCTGCCACAGCAATATTTCCCTTCCATTCCCTGTGGTACCTCCACATGGTACTTCCTTCACCCAGTGGTCTGAAATGCCTTTCTTTTGGCATTACCTGAGACTTTTGTTTTAAAACTACTGAAGTACCAGAGGTTTACAAAGTAACATTTTGAGTAGCATTTCCAGAAATGATCTAAATTAATTGTGTGTTTACTTCATTTAGGAAGCTTTTGCTGGAATTGATGATGATGCTGATGAAGCACTAGAGATTGGGCAGGCACAAGTCCTATCCCAGACCTGGGCAGAACACCCACCAGGTAAAACAATATTTGACTCTTAAGGGACTAAGTTGGATGATAAATAAAAATATGGGATCAGCGTGCACTGAAAATCCATCCAGCACTTCTTTGAAGTAACTTGGATGAAACTGCAGCCTTTGGGTCTATCTTTAAAAACTACTTGTTCCATATCTTTCTTCCCTAGTAATAAACATAACTATGTAATTCCATTGCATATGAATTGGCTGCAATTCAAAGTAATCCCTGAAGTCAAATTGAAATTAGGTTGGGAAATTTGAACTATAAAATGAATGGCCTGTTAAACATTAAGAGAGGAATGATTTAAGACCGCTTCTTCGTTTGTTTTTATATGTGGAATTTTACAGATGTTATTGCTTCACATGCCTTCAAGGCTCTCTGGGCATTGCTTCATAACATGCTTTGCACACCATTAGCATTAAATGTAATAGCAATACTAAATTTGTGTGGTGCTAAATTCCAGGTCACTTAAACTTGTGGGAAAGATGACCACTGCCTACATTGCAGTTTTAACAAAAAAAACTGAAACAATTTAGCAGCTCAGCAGAAAATGGATCTTGCCTTGTCTTTACAATACAAGGGCTATTTATTTAACTTGCTATTTTCAGAGAATTCAGAATATGATAAGCTCTTCTTCAATTGGTGCCCTATTATCATGTTGGATATTATCTGGGCATTTTGTTTATTGCAAATCCTGCTCTACTTTTCATTCAAATAATCCCGGAAGCAGGGCACTGTTAACCCAAACCAGCAAAACCACACAAAATCCCAAATGTTAAAATCCTGACTTAGAACTAGAAAAATCCAAGCTCAGTCTAAATCGTAGGCCAGCAGGCAGGTTTTCTTGGTTATGGCACCAACTGTAATGAGAAACAGAATTCTATAATCAAGGTGTTTACTTTAGGAAACATTAGGAGGGCATTATACTGAGGAAAGATGTAAAGGTATATCTTTATTTGTCCAGAATAGGGTACAACCTTAGTTATTGCTTTTGGAACTGTAGTTAGGACCTTTCCCAAGTATGTTACTTTCTAATTAAAAAAGTAGTGGCTCAGACAACTAGTTTTTCCCCCCTTTGTTGCCCTAATAACTTCTCCTTTAAAAGTCATTAGCATTTCATATCTGATGTCCATGTTTCTGATAATTTTGTTGCTGTATCTTTTTTCTTCTTCTTCATAAACCTAAGTGCCAAGGAATCTAGGGTAATGAGAAGAAAGAAAGTAGGGAAGATTTTTCACTAATTTAAATGTTTTAAATAATTTTAAGTCTCAAAGAATGGCAAGAAGGAAAAGAAGCTGCTACAACGTGAAACTGTGCCTGAATCTATGAACAGGGAAAGTCTTGAATCTGAAAGAACAAAAGAGTCAACTGAAGGGGAGTCCTCTGAGGGAGAGGAGAGCGACAGCAGCGATGAAAACAGGTATGGTCATGAAGGGCAGGATGCATATATTTGCACTAAGAGGTCATATGTTTATTATTATGATGATTGATTGCATAGTAAGCCAGATATTTAAAGTGGATTTGGCATTTTTATGCATCTCTCAAATTCTTCCCAATAATAATAATTTATAATAATGCTAAACATCTGGCTGAGTATGCGACAAACCATAATAATTATTTGTGCCTAAAGAAAGAAAAGGTAATACCAATTGTAGTAGGCCTCTTGGGTGTATTCCCAAAACAACTAAAGCACCACCTGAATGCCTTTGGCATTGACAGATTCACCATCAGTCAATTGCAAAAGGTAGCTTTACTTGGAATAGCTTACATCCTGCAATGATATCTCTAATGCCATCAGACATCAACATCTGCCTATCCCAGATCCTTGGGAAGGACTTGATAGGTGGATAAAATACCAAATCCAGTCTAAACATCTGACCAACTGTGCAACAAACCATAATTAATCTTTATATTTGTTGTTTTATTTTGGTATATTAATTAGGTTTATGACTTAGTCAATGGCATGAACTCCTCCGGGTATAGATAATTCAGTAAATTATGGCTAAAGCCATTGCTCAATACAGTATATAACCCCAGGCTTGTTTTGTTCCTTTCCTGAGCTTTCTGTTGCATTTGATATGGGAGGGATTAGTACTGCATTTTGGAAGGTCCTTCTATTCTTTCCCTCATAGAAGTCTCTTCAAAATAAAATAAGAAATGTGTTTTATTTGTGTAGGTTTGTTTGTCATAGGGTGAATAAACAGCCTTTGAAAAATAAGAGACACTAAATTATTTCTATACAATGTTTCAGTATTCTGTGAATTTTGAGCCACATTTCTGAACCAATTTGACGTAGAGTACCCCCAGTTGTAGAGATTTGTCATGCTTGCTTTAGCTCAGGAAGGAGCTAAACCTTTTCTTCCTATGCTGCATTCTTAAACATTTACCCTCTTACCTTCACTCATTTTCTCACAAATGCAACCTACAAGAAAGCTGTCACAACAAGAATGTAAGCAGCAGGAGGTCTTTTTGTCTCAAATATGAAGTATGGGAGAAATCCGTCCCTTGTCACACAATACACTTCTAATCTTGGTCTTGTCTCCTTTCTCCCCAATACTTGGTCTTCCTTCATTTTTAGAAGAAAGAAACCAATACATAATTTGATAGAATAAATGTGCTTTATTTATAATGTTTTGCTGATAAAATAGATATTTGATTTTTCTGCATTACAAAATATTTCTCCAAGTTTTAAAGAAAGTTATGGTATTTGTCTTCAATGGCATTCTGAAATTGGTTTTATTGAATGTCCCAATTGCATCTAATATATTGCAACTTTATTATTCAGTTAAATTAGTTTCTTTAAACAAATGGTTTGTCGTTTTTAAGTTATACACGCAAATAAGCTTGATCTAAAGAAAGAAAAAAGCTACCCAATTTGCTTTGGTTTTAGGTACAAATGAATTTATATAAGGAAATGTTGATATTAATCTCAAAACTTCTTTTAGCATTTGACATAAATCTGGTCCTTGCTTTCCCTGATGGCCTCATTTCAATATACTACTAAATGAATTTACTAGAAATTTAAACCAGTCATCATAGGATTTTTCATGTTGGCATCAAATTAACTTGCCAGCAATTCATTTTTAAAATACTAGCTATATGAATCATAATGAATTTAATTTTTAATATCCATATTTTCAGATCTGGATTATTACCATTAGCTTTTATCTGTGTATGGGCAGTAGTGAATATGACTATATTTGGAATACAAATTTCAATTTTTATGATAGTTATTTTTGAGGGGTGGGTAGTGTATCTGAAGTAGTTATCCTCATTTCACCTAATGTGATGCCAGAGAGGAGATGGTCCCTCAATTCCACCCTGTGTTTCTATATTTCAGGGAGCTGTCAGCCTCAAAGGCAGGGATAAAGCGTATCCAAGATAGCCAAAGTGGTATTGAGGTTGTCCCCATTATTGATCCAGGTAAGGAGCAAAAGAGCAATGGAGACCAATTGCATCTGTTTATGATTTTTAAAGAATAGTGCTGGGATGCTGGCCCAGAATATTCATTGCAACTTTCTCTCTCCAGTGAAGCGAGCACGAGTTCTAAACCCTGAAGGACTGGCATTAGGAGCAGTCATTGCCACTTCCCACAAGGCCAAGAGAGACTTGATTGATGACTCTTTCAACAGGTGATTTGAATGTACAAAAGCATTAGCAAATACAGCTGGAAAAAAAGACTCCTGAATAGAGGAACGTGATAGGCTGCAGATGGCTGATGTTCAAGAAAAGTTTGCTTTATCTCAGTTAGACCTATGTAACAAAGAGCAAACATTGGGAGTTTCAGGCACAGTGAAATCAGCAAAATGAAAACTACTGATGTCACCTAAGTCTGGGAAAGATGGACAGTTTTGTGTTGACCCTGAAATACATTTTCAAATATTCTTTCTGTGTATCTGAAAACCTTTTCCTGTAGTTCAAAAAGAATGCAAGGACAGGTTCAGTTCTCTCCACTATTCGATGGAGAAGATTATTCAGTTGGGTTTTCATACTAAAGTCTAAACTTGGGTTAACAAAATGCAATTCTTTCATTTACATAATGTCCTGTACACAAACAAAGCTTATAAAATGGCTTAAACTGATTGCTGTCTATAGGCAAGATGCTAGGACAGTGATTAGGTTGACCACTAGTCCCATTTTAGCTATGCCCAGCATATTGTACAGTCAGAGCCAATCTGCAGCAGGGAATTATAAAAAGGAACAGCAGAAATTAGGGATCCAAAAAATGAGGTGGCCCATTGTAAGTGGGTCTGCAAGAACCCAAGTAGAGGATTGAATGATATATCATCCTGATTAAAATTTTGGATACTGCAGCTTTCATGAAAGTTATTAGTATAGGCATAAAAAAAGGTTTTAGATGTTTGGAAACCTTGTACAGAAATGCAGCATATAAATTTTGCAATGCAGTCAGCATTAAAATAAGGGAAGGAACGTGTCTTTCATTTTAAGGCAGAAATGCACATAAATTAACACACTTCCTTTTTTAAAGTTTTATTAGTTTTTATAGGGTTGGGGATAGAATGGGGTCAGGGTTGGGATTAGGGTTTAGGTTGGGGTCAGGGTTGGGGCTAGGGTTTCCCCAGGTAACATTTTCAATATTTAGCAAACAGCATATTGTCTGGGTACATATATTTAAATAACAGTAATAGATATAGTAATAGATAACAGTAATATATATGGTTAATTATCATAAGCAGTATTAATTAATCACTCCATGGCGTTCTTACTTATATGTATTCAAAATTACATATCACATTCCTTTCTCTCTGATTCATTTTTCTTACCATTGATAAAAATTATCCCATGTTCTAAAGTAAACTGAATTTTCTTCCTCTTTAATATTATTGTGTTCAGGTCATCAAAGAAAGCTTTTCCCAGTCTTACAGGAATTGTTTGAAATAAGAATATTTCAACTCGTAACTTCCTAAAATATGCCCACATACATATGCAAACACATAAAGAGAAAACCTCAACCTTCCTTTTAAAAAAAAAGCATGAAAAAGGAAAATCTGACCAGTCAACTTAGAGAATATGGTTCCATCCCTGTATCATACATGCCTGTTTGCACTGTGGCCCTTTCCCTCCCCACATCAAAAGACAAGCATGAATCTTTACCAAATTCAAAAATTAAATTCCATTTCCTTCATTTGTACAAAAGTAAAATGTACATCCTTTTTTTTTTTTCACTATAAAGGAGAAGCTTTGGCTACCTCACATTTGGGGAGGGCTCCTCTGACTGTTCCCTTTATATCATTCTTTCCTTGTTCTCAGGTATACTTTCAATGAGGAAGAAGGGGAGCTACCTGAATGGTTTGTACAGGAAGAGCACCAGCACCGGCGCAAACCACTGCCTGTGAACCATCAGACTGTGGAAGAGTATCGCCAGCGTTGGCGTGAAATTAATGCTCGGCCCATCAAGAAAGTAGCAGAAGCTAAGGCCCGCAAGAAACGACGAGTAAGCAAGGCCAAGCTTCTTTATAACCAAGCAGACCGTATATAATCTGGTTGCCTTATAACCAACCAGACTGTTGACTGGTTTGCGCAATACCAAATTAAAATTTTAGCTATAGTTATTGACCACATTGCATTCATCATAATGACTACATTTACAGAAGTCCAGAAGCAACTCAGTCACTTTATTGCTTGGCATTATGTATATATACCACAGTTCTTTATTCATCTTGATACTGTATGTAAGGTACTGTGGGGCTACAAAGAAAGATTTTCTCCGTTCTCAGCTATGCGATTTTTTTTAAGTAAACATTCAAAGGATGGAGCCAGGTACAGACTCATACATATCCCCACACATAGATACCTCCATGCTTTGAGGTTCTTTCCTGTGGTGACTGCTGTCTTCTTCCCCTCAGATGTTAAAGAAACTGGAGCAGATGAAGAAAAAAGCAGAATCTGTAGTGAATACTATAGACATCTCAGAGCGTGAAAAGGCTGCCCAACTACGCAGGTGGGTTTTCACTTTTCTCAATAAAGTTCCTCTCCCCCCCCCTCCAAACTCAAGATTAGAGGCCGCATCTTGTCTCTTGAGTTTAAGGTTTTTGTTATCAGATAGCCTAAGGCTCTCTGAATTACATATTATAGTTTGTTTGTTTGTTTATTAAATTTATATATTGCCCATCTCATTAGGCAAAGTGACTCTGGGTGGCTTCCCTACCCTTCTGAGAGAAGTAAATGGGCTGCAGAAGAAACTTGTTTGACTTTATTGAATTTTATATTTCATTGAAAAAGGGAAAGAATGTCTAGATGATCAGTACTAGAGCAATCTTTTTGTAGGTCAATTTAAAAGGCCTGAAAATAATGTTTCAAATTTATGAATGCTGCAAGTTTCTGTTTATCATCTTGATGGAATGTATATGTCAAGATGATAAACAAAGCAAAATTACAGGAGGAAAGGGTAATACTGCATTTAGTTTTAGATGGAATGTGGGAGTTGGTTGTCAAGGCTCAAATTAGGCTTTAAGATAAATGTTGAGATAGTTACAGATAGTTTGTCCAGGACAATTAAACAATTCTCAATCTTCTTTACAAAAAGAAAAGTCCAGCCACTAAAGGGCACTGTTCCTATTCTTAAGTAGAACTCACAAGTTCCTTGGTAGATTTTTAACAAACTTAATTTGAGCTCCTTGGCTGAACAGTTATTTGGGCTTTTTCTATCCTAGTTCAATATTTTAACAGCTATACTACATTGACCTCTAAATCTTTTTGGTAAAGTTTCCCCACATATTAGAATCTGGTCAGATTTAGGCTTGATAGGCTTCAGAAGAGAAGAAATAAAGAAAATAAGAAATAACACTTTGAACAACTTCCTGGATTTCTAATAAGTTTGCTAACTACGTTTTGTGGAGTAAACTGTTATCTGGTTTCCAGTTTGGGACAAAGAGTCAGTTTAACTGGGATGGGCAACTTGTCAAGGGCTGCAATTCAGTCTCCTCAACCTCTGAAGAAGTCTCCAGGAAAGTAGCAGCAAAATGAAATTATTTGTCTTTGTTTCCTGTGGATTGAAAGTTAAAAAGGATAGTTTGACATATAGAAGTTTCCTACTCCCATGACTGTCCTTATTTAAAACAGGATTAATAATACTTACGAAATTTGCCCTTATTGTCACCTAATTGTATGGTGTCCAATCTAGGGAGGGATATAGATGAACGGGTGTAGTAACAAAAGGAAAGAGGGAAGTGATTTGGATTGAGGGCACTGAAATCTGGGGAAACAATTCTTCAGTTTGACAAAAGATTCTGAAAAGAAGATTTCTACCAAATCTTTTTTTTTTTTCTCTTCTCTAACAGTATCTACAAGAAAGCAGGTTTAGGGAAAGAAAAAAGACAGGTGACTTATGTTATGGCCAAGAAGGGTGCAGGACGGAAGGTTCGACGCCCTGCTGGAGTCAAGGGCCATTTCAAAGTGGTGGACAGACGTCTCAAGAAGGACATGAGAGCACAGAAACACAAGGAACAGAAACCAAGACGCAAGAAGCAAAAGTAAAGTTGTCATAACTTAATGATTTTTTTTACTAGGGTGGGCTCTTTTGACTCCTTGAATATACCTGAGACATTTAACCACATAACCATAAGCTCATTCTCAGTGGGATAGTCCTTATCCTACAAACCGCTTTTGTTCCATTAGCCACTGATAATGTAAGTTGCATAAAGATGGGGCAAGTGACACCTATGTCCTTGAGGACTGTCTTTTTTTCCAAGTTCGTGTAGTAATTTGTGTTTTATTAAACACTCTTTTTTCCTGGAAAACAATTGTTTCTGACTGTTTTAAGTTTTCTTGCCAAGAAAAAAAATAGAATTTGCTATAACTGAAGGTCTCCCAGAAATGTTTGAAATAGTCAAGTGATGTCCAGGTTCAAGAGGAGGCTGGTGGAATAAATGCAGAAAGTCGTACTAGGTATGCAGAGGAAGAGAAAACCAGCAAAGCCTGTGGGGCAGAGTAGGCTGCCTCCAGAGGCTGCTTCAAGGTGAGGTGAAAGAGAGAAGTTACTGGTTGAGGCCCAAGCCAGTCCCAACCCCTGCCTGCCCACTGGATTCCCCAATCCAGGGCAGGGATAGAAAGAAGGCAGCCTCTGCTTGCCTCAGGCCCCGGCTCTCTTAACGTCAGGCCATCTTGCAGCAGTGGCACCAGCAGCAGACAAGGCAGGGGGGAGGCACGCAATCCGGCCTGCCCAAAAACCTACGGTGGGATGGAGTGGGCAGGGTCTTAAGTAGCACTTTTTTTTTGAGGTAGGGTTTATATTAGGCCCAACCCCCAAAATCAAACTAGGTCTTATTTTCTGGATAGGTTGTATTTTCGGGCAAACATGGTACTACACCAGCAAGCCCTAGAAGGTCCAGGATCTTTTGGTTCTGTGTTTGATTTTCCTCTTGGCCTGGCTCAGTACTTAATACTAAATTATGGCCATGTGAAAATGTCTTTCTGCAATTTCTGATGAATGAAAAATGCCCTACATAGATATGGATGATAATGCTGTGGCTTTAGGCTTGGGAAATTTTATTTATTTCAGCATGGTGCCACCAACAGTGTCCTAAATTAACCATCTCAGATTCAACAACAGTAGCCAAATCTATACTTATCTCCATCCCTTAGAAAAAGATGTGTGAGATCTATTTCATAAACTAAAGATCCAAAAAGCACCAGATCCAGATGGAGTAACTCCTTCTTGCTTGAAAATCTGTGCTAGACAACAGGCTCCCATCTTTAATCACATTGTTAATAAATCACTGGAGATGTGCTATGTCCCTTCTTGCTTCAAACACTCTACTAATATCCCGGTTCCCAAGAACCTTTTTATAGACTTCAGCGTCAGCATTCAATACCATCATTCCAGAAACTCTTCACTCTAAACTGATTCAGCTAGCTGTGCCTGTCCATACTTTTAGGTAAATTACTAGCTTTTTGACAGATAGGAAGCAACAAGTGAAGCTAGGGAAAATCACATTGAGGACCTGCATAGGCGTCCCTCAGGGTTTTGTGCTCTTTCCATTTCTCTTCTTTCTCTATATCAATGACTGCATTTCTGGATCCTTCTATTAAAAGTATTGAAGTTTGTAGATGATAGAAAAATCGTTGGTACCATTCGAGATGGTAATTGTTTAAAAAGACGGGAGGTTAAACAACTGGCTCTATGGTGCAGCTGGAACAATCAGGAGCTGAACATTCATAAAACTGTAGAAATATGAATGGATTTTAGGAGGAGCCCTCCTATTTTATCATCTCTTACTCTATTCAACAGCATAGTATCAGCAGTAGAATTCTTCAAGATTTTGGATTCTATAACTTCCCAGGATTTGAAAAGGACTCCTAACATTACCATTATCAAAAGGACACAACAAAGAATGTGTCAACTTAGGAAGTTCAGACTGCCCCAGAAGTTGTTGATAAAATTCCACAAAAGAATTATTGAATCTGTCATTTGTACTTCTATAACTGTCTGGTGTAGTACAGTAACTAAACAGGATAAGTGCAAACTCCAACAGATAGTTAGGACTGCAGAAAAAACAATTGCAACCAGCCTGCTTTCTGTAGAAGACCTGTATATTGCATGGGCCAAAAAAAGGCTAAGAAAATTGTTTCAACTCTCCTCAGAATGCCGCTATAGGGCATTACATGCCAAAACAACTAGACACGGACAGTTTTTTCTCTCATGCCATCACTCTGCTGAACACCTAATCCTCACAGTAGTGTCTTATGTCTAAGTATATTCACTCATGTTGTATGACTAATATTATTATCCTCATCTTCTCTACTACCCCTTCTTACTGGTGTTATGATTATTATTATTGCTTTGTTGCTTTGCATGTACACTGAGAGCTTCTGCACCGGAGACAAATACCCCTAATCACACTTAGCTAAACAAAGTATCCTGGCTGTCCTGTCCTGTCCTATCCTATCCATTTCCTATTCCTGTCCAAATAGGTAAGATTTTAGCACCCATGCTGGCTAGGGGACAGATGGGAATTTTTGTGTGATGACTTAAGTTTTGCTATTAGAAAGCACCAGGGACACTAGAATTTATTTATGTATTTGTTTGTTTTTTTGTTTAAGTTTTAAAAATGTACAGTTTGGAGACAGGCAACAAAAATGATGCAAGGCCTGAAGAACAAAACATAACAGGAGGGATTGAAGGAACTGAATATGTACAGCCTAGAGGACAGAAGGGAAATGGGGGGGGGGAACGTGATTGAAAACTTTAAATATATTAAGGATGCAAATAAGGTTCTAGAAGGCATTTTCACTATTAGACAATAATAAAAAATATGGGTGCATAACCTCAAATTGACAAGAAGAAGGTTCAAAAGAATGTTAGAAAGTATTATGTCACAGATAATAGTGGAAGCTTGAAACAAACTTCCAGTGGAAGTAGTGGGTCAGTTATCAGTAACTGAGTTTAAACATGTTTGGGATAAACATATGTTTCATTCAACAAAAATTTAAAAATAAATAAAAAAACAAAATAAAAAATTCATACTGCAGATTCAACAGACCATGGGATCTTTCGCTGTTGTCCATTTTCTGTTTCTATGGTACAAATAGCCTTGAAATAGAATCTTCAAGGTTTTATTATATATATAAATTTATAATATATAATCTTCAATATTTCTCATAATACAACTTTAAAAGATTACTGCACACGTATTAAGCTTACCTTTTGCTTCTTGCATCTCCACCAACATAAAATAGCCAAGTTTGTTCTTTTTTTTTAACACACATGCGCACACACAGTTTCTATTTGCAGATGTGTGGTGAGAAAATTGTTTAAGGGGTGAGGGAAGCTATTCTTCATTTCATTGTTGTTAATATGAGTGTCAACAGCTAAAATATAATAAATGTCTGAAAGCTGAATTCACAAGATTGATATAAAATCAGCACAGAAGACTAAAAGCTTAATAGTTTTAACGAGCTTAAGAGGCCTGGATAAAACAATCCATGACAGATATGGAAACAATTGTGTTTCCATATCACATTGTGTTCTCTATTACAAATAAAATATAATAAAAGTACCACAAAATCAATTAATTTCAAACACTTTGTATCAAAATGTAAAAAATAAAAAAGGTTCATTTTTCTTTTAATTTTATATCTCTAAAGTAGACTTGACCTGGACAGGATAAAGTCCTTATATAGCCTTTCAGACAGGGCTTTTCTCTGTGAGTTAAGAAATACATTCATTCTAAAATAGTATTGTAAAGTCCCCATATCTGTATTAAGCCATTCATTTAGCATAGCAGTGGACAACCTCCTGAAACTGCTACGCCATTTTTTTTTTTTTTTTTGCCCTCATTACCGCTTCTAATTCATTCATAAATAATGGACAAAAATGTTTTCCTGCCATTTTAGGTGTGAAAAATATACAGGATATCTAAAAGTAATTTAAAGCAAATTTTAAAATTAAAAAAGCCTCTAATTTTTCCCCTTTTCTAATAGGAAAGAACACATTTTGACTCAAACCACTTTATTTATAATTTATTTATTTATAAATTTATTTATTCATTTATAAATTACATGCAATTCCCACCAATTGTAGGTTACCCACTCTTGTTTTAACAGTTTAAAATGAAAAAGTGCTGTTGTATGGATAGTACCTTGCACAGAAAAAATGTTCTGAGGAACTCAGGCTGGGTTTTTAAGTACTATCCATATCGTTATCATGGGTATATAATCTGCTCCACCCAGGTTGGCATTACACTGAACCTTCTTATTAAAGTGTGCATTCTACACAGTTGGTATCCTGAACATGAGGCAATGAATTGTAATTATCAAACTACCATCAGAGTAATCATTAATATAATTATTTAATATAATTTCAGTGTAACTACATGAATTCTCATTTTCCTGTACACTCCACCTACTGTTTAGAGCATAGCCCAGTGAGGTGAACCCATGGCACACGTGCCAGAGGCGGCACTCAGAGCCCTCTCTGTGGGCATGTGTGCCATCGCCCGAGCCCTGCCTCCCACCACTGCTCCCTCCTCACCAGCAGTTCCCCGGAGGAGAGTCACCCCCAGGCACAGCCCGCGCCGAGCAGCGCAGCCAAGGACATGGCAGCTGGGCAGCAGGGACAAGACTCCGCTCTTGCGCCCCATCCTGTGATGATGCTGCGGGGCACAGGTGGAGAGTGTGGCTGCCATGGCGCTGCAGGACTGCCTGGGCAATCTGTTGCAGCGAGCTGTGGAGGCATTGGGTGGGTGGGGCGGGGGCGGACCAGGGGCTGGCAGGGGTGGGGGGGTGGAGCAGGCATGGAGCAGGGACGGGCCAGGGACAGGGCGATTTTGGGGCACTCGATCTCTAAAAGGTTCACCATCACTGGCATAGCCCATGTCAGCTAACTTGAAAATCAGATTGGCTCCTGAACCCAACTTGCACATTTCTGCTGTTTCAAAAACTGATGTTGGCTCCACATCAGTAAATAGCTATTAATCAAGGTCATGGTTGTCCCAAAGGTACTTTTCAAAAAATAATTGGGCTTTCTTGGGTTTTTTTTTCTTAAAGCAATTCACTTCTCATTCAAGAAGTCTCTTTAGTTCTGACTGAATGGTGGGGAATGGAAGGATTTGTATTCTTTGCAGTCATCTGGTCATTAGCACTCTGAGGGTCGATAGTTAGCTTTCTGAAAGTTGTTGAGGCCACTTGGAAGGTTTATCTGTATCATCAGAGTCTCTTGAATCAGAGTGCAAATGAGTATGAAACCATCTTGAAACTGCTGAAAAACTTTCAGGCATCTGAACGACAAAGGTCACTCTTTTGAAGATAGTAAAGTTCACATTCTGGACAGAAAGGGCCATTGGTTTAAATTAGAGATCAAAGAGACCATCTATGTTAAAATTGGACAGCCCTCTCTCAATATAGGGGGAGGGATACAACATCAATTACCCACTGTCTACAACACAGTCCTTTCTGCAATCCCAAGAATGTTCCATAGCCATTTGGCACTCTGACTCAGGTGATTTTGAGGATACAGATAAAGTGGCCTCATGATTCTCAGAGAGCTAACGACTGTCCCTCAGAGTGCTAATGACCAAATGACTGCAAACAATATAAATCCTTCCATTCCCCACCATTCAGTCAAAACTGAAGAAGCTTCTTGGATGAGAAGCAAAACATTCTTTTTAAAAACCCAAGAAATTCCAGTTATTTTTGAAAAAGCAAAAAGTAAAATGTTTTTTCCTTCAGTCAAACCCAGACTTTTCTATTATCTTCAGCATTTTGAAGAGGTTTGGACACAATAAAAGTAGCTTGCCTTGCAATGCTAACTGAAGTGATGTTTCTTTAACACAATTTCTGAATATAATAGGAACATTCACCTTTGTCTGCTGTTCTATATCAGATATAGCACGTTTTAATTGCCAGCTCCGTCTTGCAATTATTATCAGCATAGCTAGTCAAAGACCTGCTTTTTGAGAACCTGATTCACATGGGACATTGGGCAATATCCCGCTGTTACAAGGAAGAAAACTCCATACTTCATGTTCATATTTAGGCACTTCCTTCAGATCATAGATAAGAGATCTTCTGATAATAAATATGAGAACAGTCTTAATTGCTGGGTTGGTCTTTTAGAAATTGTACTTCCGTGCTATGTACGATCAACAGAGATCACTTCTAGCCTCAGCCCCAGAACAGAGTTTTGGGCATAATAGATCTCAGACAGATTATATTCCATGTCAGCTTTTTCTTAATATTTCCAAAGGTTGCTTAGTGATTTAGTTTCAAATAAGATGTCCAAGGCTGAAAATGTTTAAAAGGAGAGTCAAACTCTCAAACACTTCATGTTAGAGTGGAATCTTTTAGGAATTTCAGAGTTAGAATGGAATAGAATTTAATAACAGAGTTGGAAGGGACTTTGGAGGTCTTCTAGTCCAACCCCCTGCTTAGACAGAAAACCATATAACATTTTAGATAAACCGTTGTCCAATCTCTTCTTAAAAACTTCCAGTGTTGAACCTCTACCTTCCAAATGTGGTAAACTCTAACCTTTCTTTTATGATTTTATAGCAACTGTTCTTTAAATATTAGAGCTGCAGCCAACTTACAAGTCTGCTTAGGGCTCCAATCACTCTTTAACCTCAAACACCTGAGAATAATGCATCCTACATATCTTTAGAATATATTTATATTTCTCTACTCCTACTCTTTGGTCTGCCCAAAACATTTGAAATGAAGAATAAAATATGATCCCTCATAGCAATTTTATAAATCTAAACACAAAGAGTACAAGATTAATACTGTACAGTAGCAGCCAATTAAAACAAGCTATGTACAATTGGCTGTACTTGCAGAATGTGGTGATACAAAAAATATTCAATTTTGGAATCTTCCAACCAAATGGCGAGTCTGAATATTGCTAGAATAGTTCCATATAAGGAATGGTCTGTATTACAGTCAGAATAATCTGCAACACGATAGTATAGAGCAGGGGTGTTAATGCTGCTGGCCCGCAGGCAGGTTGCATCACATAGAGGCCGCACCCACCCCTGCTCCGGCAATGCAAAAAAAGTTGTGATACGTCATGACACGTCATGTGGCATGGCGAGTTTGACACCCGTAGTATAGAGTGATACTTTGAGGAGAAGTCTGGAAGATCACACCTTGGGAACACATTTTTGCCCCTCTGACTGGGTTGCCTAATCCACCTTTGTTGAGTGACTCATTCAGGTTTTTCCTAAGATGACTTCCTGGATACAATAATGTATCTCATTCAAAGTAGATTCACATATTTTATCTTGGGAATCCCACAGCACCTCTTTTTCACAGCTTTAACATTAATTCAAATTAATTTACTTTCAGTAATAAAGTACATATTATAACTCAAGTCTTGGATGGCAGGTATATTATCAAACAGACCATATTTAGTGATGGTGGATTTAAGTGGATACAGAGATCTTCCTCTTATTGTACGCATCATCTCTAAAATGGATTCTATGGAAAAGATCATATGTAGTTAGTATGTTATAGCAAGGTAACAATGTATGGTGCTAGTCTTTTTCCAGCTTAGGATAAAATTGATTCCTGGCCTTGTTTAAGAGAGAAATGTTCTTATTTTACTTCCATCATGAACCAGTGTTTTTTCTGAAGCTTCCATGATCACTAGCAGTTACTGTCTCTCATCCTTCTCTGTACAATCTTCCCAGAAATGTCATTAAAAGTGTCTTGCATCATTCTGTGAGTGCTCTCAACCAATCCAGAAATATCTTGTAAGTCAAGCCCTTGTGTTTCTATCTTGGGCAAAATCCGAACAATTATATTACCTATTGGAAATCAAAGAGAGACAGAAAAGTGAAAGACAATAATCTTATGTAGAAATGGGATATTTCCAGAAAGGATTAAGTTGCTCAAGAAAGAGATAAGAATTTAAATAGCACCTATATTCTTGCTGCAGCTGATGTTAGAGGCACATGCGGATTGTTAAATTACAGAATATTTTCCAGGAAACTATTTGGAATTACCTCACATAAGTATCATATTTGGAGGAGTTCTGAACGATTATTAACATAGATATTGGGCTGCAGCCTCAAAATATAATTGCTTTAATTCTGGAATGAACATAGTCTAGACAAAAATCTCATATGCTTAAACTGTAGTTGGATGCACTTTGGAATATAAACAAAGGAAATCTGAATACTTTCCTACAAAGCCTAAAAATTACATAAAGAGATTGCATTAATCTTTTTGAAAGAAAAGGCTAGAATTCTCTTTTTACGGCAGGGGTGTCAAATTCAATTTCATTGAGGGCTGCATCAGCATTGTGGTTGCCCTTGGGGGGGGCGGGTGGGTGTGGCCAGGGTGGGTGTGGCCTGGGTGGGCGTGGATGAACTGGGTGTGGCCTATTGGGTGGGCGTGTGAGAACGCCCCACTGCCTGCTGAAACCCCTCCCCCGGAGCCCATCAAGCCGGATATATGAAGTAGGCGAGGGCCATTTGCTGGCCACTTCCAGGCGATGGTGCATTTCTTCATTCCTCACAAAGGGTGACACCTCCCCAGCATGCACCTAGGGGGCGGGGGCCATGCGGCAGAGACTGGTTCCTCACTGTTTCCAGACGGTCTTGTGGAGCTAAGACTGAATGCATTTCAGCATAGATGGCCACCACAAAATTGTATATTGGCTCCCGGCTGGCCTGGGCCAGGGCCAAGGCAGCGGGGGCCGTTCCCTCACTGTTTCCAGGATGGCTTTGCAGGCCACATAAAACCACTTTGCGGGCCGCATCCGGGCCCCGGGTCTTGTGTTTGATATATCTGTTTTACGGTATCTAGTCTTCTCCCTTACTGAAGCTTATTTAACTGGGTCCATTTGGAAGTAGATTTATCTTGTCTACTGTTTGTATAGAAAAGGTCTTTTTTATATCAAAAGTAAAAATAAATAAATGAGGATTAACTTCTAGTTCTCTGGATGAGACTTTCAGCTCCTAAATGTTCAGCAAGAGAAACATTTAGATTTACTGTATTTTAGTTAGAATCCTGATTATGTACAAATATACAAATCTGGTAGGAATAAATATTGTTGCCAGAAATGTTCTAATATTTTTATAATTATAACCAGTAATGATAAGATTCAAGAATCTTTTTCAGAGGACGTCAAATTGAGTAAACATTGTCCTTTGAATTTGGAGCATACGATAAAATGCAGCTATAGGTCTGGGAGAAAATCAGTATTTTAAGAGAACATAAATGTCTGTTTCTTTGATTTTGGGTACAGTGCATACATTAAAAAGTCAAATAATATTTTATGTTAAAGGTCCAGGTTTGTGTGAAAGAGAGAAAGAGACAGACAGATAGTTTCTAGGATAAATAATAGGACAGAGATAGAAGAAATTAGTTGGATCTTGGGATATGATGGGTATCAATAGAGGAACCTAGGTTAGTTGCCTCTATTTATTGCATATTTGTAGATAATCCAAATTTCACAAATACCACAATTGTCATTACTATCTAAACCAGGGGTTTTTCAAAATTATAGTGTATGTGCATAATTCGTTGCCATTATTTTGAACTTTTGTAAGGGGTGCAAGAATATATCAGAAGCGTTCTAAGGGTACGGGGTATAGAAAAGGTAGGGAGCCGCTGATCTAAACTATAAGCAAAAAATTCTAAATTTGCACCTAAATATGTAAACTACTATATGGAAATATCATACAAATCTCTGGGGAAAGGTGATGAAAAAATTTATTTCTGTAGACAGAACTATTCATCTATGAAATTTGTATATCACCATAATCAAAATGGGTGAATAGAATTTCTATCACTTACATTGCTTTCTAAGCAAGACTGAGCAACTGATGGCAATTAAAAAGAAAAATCTGGGCATGGTTCTTTGCCATTTAGACTTACCTGGCTCAAATCTCTTATCCTTGAAACTGTAAAAATCTGCATAAGAAGATATCACAATGGGGACAATAGGGACCTAAAGGATAAAAGGCAGTTGAAAGATAGAATCTTGGAGAATTATATCATGAGTTTTTCCCTCCTTTATAATAGTTTTCTGCAGCCACAATTTTTACAACAACTTTCACTAATCTAACTATCTCTGGATGTGTAGACTTCCAGAATTCCCTCACCAATGTGGCCATTGCTGACAGTTCTAGAAGTTGGAGATATCTGGAAAATGTCCAGATAGGTAAAGATTAATTCACACCTTCTCTGAACAGGATTCTAAAGCTTTAGTTAGTGCTTGTAATTGATCAGGAACAGACATTTTCAGATCAACAAGTCAATAAATCTCCCAATTTCTCCATTTTCTGTGGAAATTAGTTCTACTTGATATATTAGGACAGTGGTTCTCAACCTGTGGGTCGGGACCCCATTTGGGGTCGAACGACCATTTCACGGGGGTCGCCAAATAACACAGTCTGCCATTTTTTCCCCCTTTTCCTTAGCTGTGCTACTCCCTTTTATTCTATTGGCTTTTGAAAGCCAATAGAATAGACTCTCTTGAATAGAGTCTAATTCTATTGGTTTTCAAAAGCCAATAGGAATTGTCCAGGCTGTCTCTGCCCTGCTGAGCCCGCCAAAAGTCCCATTCTGCAAACGGTGCTGCACCAGTTGAGTAGTCCTCGACTTACGACCGGTTGAGTAGTCCTCGACTTACAACTAGTTGGGGTCACGGCATTAAAAAGGTTGAGAACCACTGTATTAGGAGAAGTGGATGCCACTTCATGAAATTTACACTACCGTATATGCCGGCGTATTAGGCGACCTGGCGTATAAGATGACCCCCGTCTTTATCGCTGAGCCGCATTCCTAGAACGTCGTCTTATACGCCGGAAACTACCAGTATTTCCGGCGTATAAGATGACTTGGCGTATAAGACGACCCCCGTCTTTGGTGCCGAGTTTAACACTTCCGGAAGTCATTTTATACGCCGGCATATACGGTATATAATTTTCTCCAAACCATTGAGGTCCTATTGGTTTATTTACAAGCCCTATAACTCCCGGTCAATATGGCAATGTTGAGTGGGAATTATGAGAGACCATATTTGGACGCCATTAGGATCATGAAACAAGCAAAAGAAATGTATTACATGTTGAAATGCCACAAAATGCCACATTTCTGAATTATCAGCTTTTAAATATGTTGCCATATATATCAAGGCTGAGTATGTTTCAAAAATGATTAGGCAGAAATTCTTTAGACCTCACACAAGTATGGCACTTCCCTGCTATTCATAAAAATAGCTCACAAGAATCTGAAAAAAGTGCTACTTCAATGAAGAGAGATATTACACTTGTACAAGTTCCAAAGCACTTTTCCAAATAATCTTTGAAGTATGCCAAGCCTTAATATTGCCTCAGCAATACTTGGATGTCTGTGTCTAGGCTTGAGAGCTAAAGTTCAGGTTAGTAGTTGGAAGGGAGACCACTAAGAAATCCCAGGATTGCAAGATAGCCTTGGAAGTGAAAAAAACACCTCAAGAGAAGGCAAAGCTACACCACTGTTGTATTGTTCCAAGATAACAACCATATGTGTCATCAGGAGTTAAGCTCCACCTGAGGACATCTTACTTTTATTTCTGCTCAAGTAAGCTTTTATCCACGTATAAAATGAAAAGAAGGAAAGAATGGAAACAGCAATTTCATTTTACTTATATAAAGTCGCAATTTCTCAAAGGTATTTTACTAATCACTTTTAAATCTGAACTATAGTATTTATGATAGCACTTGACATCTGTAGTGGAAAATGGGGAAAACCTTGGGAGCCTAGGCAAAGAGGCACTTCCAGAGTCAGATAAGAACTCATAGCTCAGCTCAGAATCAGATAAGAGCTCATAGCTGGATAGTAAGCAAGGAAAGAGACTCAGAAGAGACCTTCTCTAGTTTCTTAGGCAGTAAAGGAGACGGGCAAATTGTACTTTCAGACTTGTAAGATTATTCAGTCAATATAGTATTACAATAAAATAGAATTAATGTTTGTGGTTCCTATCTGGTTTACCCTGCAATGCTGACAACATCTGAGTCAGAATTTCCCTCTTCCACAAAGCATCAACTTTAGGAACTTTTTACCTGAGCCTTTATAGCCAAGTGAAAGGCGCCCCGCTTGAAGGGAAGCATGGTGCCCTCTCGGTTCCTGGTACCTTCTGGATAAACCCATATCCTCAGCTGGATAGGTGAACAGCAGGGGAAAACAAAAAAGATCACCAGTTACAATGTGAAAAGTGCAGCCTATCTTCTGAAAACATTTCAGGCCTTATTCAGCTATTTTGTCTAAAGAATTGCCCTATTACCCGGAAAAGAAATGACATGCACAGTCTGACTCATTCTTAATCTGCTACTTCCTATGCTAACTGCCCCAGGTTGATTGGGAAATGGTAGAGTGAATAATGAGCTCATATCCCAAGGAAGAACCTTTGAATGATTAGGTCCCAATAAAAAAAAGAGACATAATTAGGGACATTTACTTTTAAGATAGACTAGTAAAGGCTCTCTGCAATCTTCCGGCTGAATTCATAAAAGTCAGGGAATCTGGGAAAAGTCTGCCATATTACTCATCTTTATTATTTCTCTAAAATAGCTGGAGTTTTCTGCTTAACTCATCCTTTCACCCCAGGAATAAACAAAGTACTACATATGAATAAACCACTCTCAACTGGTGTCAACAGCCTCTCTGCCCACCTTATTTCTTATTTCTTTCTTATTTCTCAAAATAAGAAAGAAAGAAACATATGTTGCAAAGGACCTGCAAGGATATTAGAAATCATCAGGGAGTAGGAGAGGGAAGGAACTCTGTCATCTTTTGGTAAAGGTCAACAGGTATTTAGTGAGGGACCATGGCTAGAGTGGCAGCCATTTTGTGAACAGACCATTTTCCAGAGGAGCCATTTTGTGATGCCCCACCTCAACCACTCATTTAAAATTCTAATGAGTGGCAGGTCTAAGGTTCTTATTCTAATTTTTCCCTCATATGAGTAGATCTATGATTCCAGAAAGGCATAGTCCAAGAGTAGTATGCTTGGATTGTCATTGCCTTTCCATGTTTGGTAAAGGTTGCATCAGTTAAAGGCCTGGGGATATTAGCGGGGGAGGGGAGATAGAAAAACTCTTCCAGATTTCAGGATGCCCTGGTTTGGACCCTGTCTTCCTCCATATTAGCAATCCCCAGCATTGCCCATCTGCCCCTCTGAAGTAAACTTTCCCACACATCCATTTCTATTCTATTCTCCCTAAAGCACCAAATACCAATTCTCCCTCCATCTGTCTTTTATTCAGACAGAGAGAAATTGTCTTTAGAGCCAACAATACTGGCTGAACATGGACATATTCATATTCATGTTATTTCCTTGATATCAGGTATGAAAATGGTTTGCCAGTGTTACCTTCTGGGATATTTTTCTAATTTTGTAATCTAGTTAACTCTAGCATTTTCTAGCAGTCCCCCATCCAAGTCCTGGCTGGTTGTAATCCTGCTTAGCTTCTTTAACATCCAGGCAGGTTGGCAAGAGATTGTATTTGTATTAAAATGAAGGTTCCAGAATAACTCAGCTATAATGAGATGTACTGATTTCTTCCACAAGTGGCCATTGAGGTGGAATACATTCAGTGGCTAATTGTTTAAGATTCCATATAAAAGAAGGGTGGTGAAGAGACCAGTTTTTTATACTAAGATGGGATCATAAATTAACTTCTCTTCACATTCTCACCGTTAACAGTATTGGAACTAAGCTGAGAATAATAGTAAAGAGGAGAAATAGGGGGAGGCACTCATTTCTAAAAGCTTGAGTATCCATATATCACTTTGTCCCTTCTAGTTAAATGAGCAAGGTAGGCTCAAAGAACTAATGGTCCTTTAACAAAAATAACACCCCCCACATACACACACAATACATAAGAGCATTCCTGATTTCAGGGATCCTTCCTCTGCAGACAAAGAAGTTTAAGGTAATTTGAGATCTTAGGAACATCTGTTTTAGTACCTATAGAATGCAGGTTTTTAAAATTATTGTCCTAAGGCTATCTTTCCCAGCATGTGCCATCTAGATGTGTTGGACTTCAAATACCCATACTCAAATAGCAGGGCTTTCATTATAAAGATAAATCCAACATCATCCATTGAAGGAGAGTGGGGAAGATACTTGGAGAAGAGGAAGTTGCCAAATACCAGGTCAGATTATGTTTCCATTTAGCCAAGTCCAATCTTCTCTGGCTGCCAATGACTCTTCAAGTTTTTGTCAGAAATTGACTTCTCATTTGCTCCTTCTAATTGTAAATACTAGAACTTGGGATCTTCTGTGAACAAAGTACATAGCTTTCACCAGTGGTGGGATTCAGATATGTGAACAACCAGTTCTCTGTGTGGATACTACTTCTGGAAATCCATTCTGGGCCTAGGCAACAAAAAATTAGCTACTGATTCTGCCAAAGTAGTGCGAACTGGCTGAATCCCACCACTGGCTTTCACTTTGAAGAATATCCATACCATCAGCTGCAGCAGTTTTCCAACCATACTTGGATCCCTCCCATTTTCATGCTTCTTCCAAAATAAAATAATATTACCAAATTTCTCTCTCAGTGCTCACCTTCTCATGCTGCATCCTCTCTGCAAGGTGCCTTAAGGTATCCCTTGCTTGATGCTTCTTCTTGCGATCAATGAAAACTAAGTTGCATAACCAACCAGAGAAACCCAGAGGCCCCCAGTATAGCAGCTCTTTTTTGGTAATTGGTACACAACGTTCTGGCAGGACCTCTGCCATTGCTAGAGAGAAAGAAAGAAAGGAACAGAGGAAGGAGACTGCCATGGCTCAAATAATCTGAATAATCCAGATGTATTATTCCCTAACATTATTAAGCCATAATATGATTTGTTTTATTTGTGTGAACTCGGTCATTGTAGTTTATGAAATACATATTAAATAAAAAAATGGACAAATGGTGCAAAATGGTGCTCTGAAAAACTGGATGACTTTTGAGATTGACAGTGGCTTGGGGAGACTATCTGGTGAATTTAACCCTTTTTGTAATGCCTTAATAGACCTTTTTCTTTCTTTTTTCCCGTTCAGGTATTTGTTTTATCTCCATCCATCTCTCTTTTCTTTCTCTTTCCTTTCCTCTATTTTCCTCCTAATTTTTGGCTATATCTATTGAAGACAATATAGGTTTGTATAGGTAGTCCTCGACTCATGAATCTGCCTGCTATGGTTGCAAGTTGTGATGGTCATTAAGCGAGGTGACATGATTGTCTCGCTTAATAACCCTGATCCTTGCTGTTCCTGATGCAGTCATTAAATGACTGCCCAGATCATTAAGTGAAGTTATCTTAGGGGGTTCCAAAGTCCCCCCCACCCCCAAGCTTTACTTCCCATCCCTCAGGGTTCTCACAGGTCTTGGACCTGGTTTTCCCCCCATTAGGTTCCTGTAGGCCTATTCTCATTTCACAGAAGGGAATGGTCACAAGAAACTGTTGTCATACCAAAATGGCAGCTGCTTCCTGGAGGTAACCGTGCAGTTTAGGGTTGGAACGGTCTGTTCTGTTTCCTTAATACGGTCTGTACCATACTGTGGAGATTTCTGATGCTTTCTGCAGTGCTGCACAGAGTGGATTAGGGAAGCAGAATTGACTTTTTGTCCCTGGGCTAGGTGGTTGCATTTCAGAAGCAGCCACCATTTTCAGATCAGTCACAATTCCTTGTGGCTGCTTAGAAAATGGCAAGCCCTTCTGGGATGCAGCCACACAGCCCAGAGACACAATGGGACAAAATGACTTGCCTTTCTTCCCTAACTTGAAATCCAGAGCCCCTGTTCTTATCTTTGAAAAGTAAATGCACAGTGGGGGAGGGGAGGAGGGGGTGAGGATCTGCAAGGTAGGAAGCAGGGCCAAGGCTTATGAAGACCAGTGGGAGGGAAAAGCTTCCCTTATTTCAAAATGGGGTTGTAAGTAGCTTTTGGAGGGCTCTGTCATAACTTTGAAAGGTTACTAAGCAAACAAATGTAGGTTGAGATCTACTTGTAATGGGTGTTTCTGAGTGCAACATAATGGTTGCTCTATGCAGATGGGAGTCAATTAATATTATTAAGTGGGCTACCTTATTTTACAGGTAATTCGTTTTAATCAGTAGTTTTTCAGTATATTTTTTTCATGGCCTTGCCTTAAACAGTGTGTGGCTTCCAGTAGGTAAATGAAACACATGATATGATACATGCACGCATTTATAGGGGTGGGTGGGTGGGTGAGGGAATATTTCTAGGAACTGCATCAGCTGAAGTTGCTAACCAAAAGCTAATTAGGTGAGGGACGTTACATATGGTCTTTTTCTGTCTTTGTCCTTTCTATCTACTTTTTTGGAGGTGATCTTAAATAAGTTGTCTTATTATTTTATATACTATTAAGTTTTCCAGCAGCAATTGAAGTGAGTATTATACAATGCTGAAAAGCAACAGATGCATCAAGGTATGCATTTATATACAAAGAAATTGGCTGTTATTTTGTTTAGAGGTCAATAGAATTCCATTAGAAAGTTTATACACAATGATAATTATTTACAAACTTTGGATTGTTAAATTTCTAATAGCATCCAGCCACATGCATTTTCTACGCTGAGTTATATTGTTTGATTTGCCAAGTGTATATTTGTAAAAAAATAAATAAATCAAGCAGGTAGACCTTTTGTCAATAATTTCCATCTGAGCAAACCTTTTGCAACTTTATCTGGATACATCAAAATATTGCAGAACTCAGATTTAGGAATGTTTACATTATTTGGAGAAACTTCTCTTTAAAACTGGAAGCTTCTATTTACTAAGATTCATCCTGTGCTTTTATCTTGCCTTCTAATCATGCGGAAAGGAGATTGAGAGGAGAATATAAATAAAAGTTATGAATAACATTCAAATTATTTGGAATCAAAATTCAAAACATTCATACAACATTCCAGATGTGATAGTCTATTCACATACCAAGAAGATCAAAATTTGTCTGATGGTTGCAAACAATCACATATGATTGCTTGATATTCAAATTCTCAGAGCCCTGCACAGTGAATGTGATGTTGTAGATATATTTGAGTAGACGAATGCAGGAGCAGAGTAACCTGTAAAGAGCAGAAACAAAAATATAGTTTAGGGGAAACTTCTTCAAAGTTATCAATATTAACACCCCCTGAAGAATATTTTTTTGTTGTTGCTATTATTGTTATTTATAGTTAAAATAGTATTTATTACATTATTTTCATATAAAAATGTTTGGGGGTTGATTAGCTAAAGAATTTGCGGACACATGGTTTAGGGAACAAATAACATATTACAATTGTTTCTTTTCTTTTCCATCTTGTATTCACTGCAGCTCACTTAATCAGATGCATAATATTGTGACATGGTACATGGAAATAACTTTGGGGGGTGGGGAGAGATGTTGCCCAGAGAAGAGGGAGGAGCCCATAGCTGTTTAATGGTTAAAGAAAAAAAAATTCAGAAAGGATCTTTTCTGACTTACGAGGTTGAAAAAAGAGATGGTAGGAGATTTGTACTTTCAGACTTGCAAGATTCTGCTAAGGTAGCCTTGCAATAAGTAGTAGTAGTAGTAGTAGTAGTCATAATAGTAGTAGTAGTAATGTTGCAAGGGCCATAGAGTTGGAAGGGAATTTAGCTCTTTTGATCTGTTTCCTCTCTAACCTATTTGGGAAGGCTAACAAGGAGGACTGAAACTGGGGTGTGATGGTAGGGGGAACTACCCAGAATCATTTATATGACATGAGCAGTATAAAAGTAATAAAATAAAATAAAAAATAGTTTGTGTGTGGGGGAAGGGATAGGACGATAAATTGATTATGAACATAAATATTACATGTGAGACAAATTAAAATTACTTATCAATTAACAATTATAACATGTTAAAAACAATTTGTGTTTGTTGACATTGTTTGAAATTGCTTGAAATCTTTTGAAATATCTTCAAAAAATTTTGCTCAGTGTTGTTAAAATCCTATTTCCTCAAAATGTCACTTTACAGTTTGCTGTGGAATGTGCTGGAAGATTGAAATGTTCTGATATTGTTTTGAGTCCTGATTTCAAACTTGTCCCCATTAATCCTTTTTTATAAAATATTTGTCCAATTTATTCTATGTAAAATTCAGAAGGCATTGTTGGCAGATGATGGCATGTATAGGCATCTCTAATTTTCTTTTTGTATCTGTTGGTGCCTGTGATGATGCTCTTAGTGTACATGGGGACAAATCTGCTTGGTATTTGCTTGCAGGATCTTATTAACATTATCTTTTTTCTTTTTGATTGTGAAAAAAAAATTCAGGCTGGATAGTTGCTAGTATGGGCTTGCATACTCAATGCTTGAGAAAATGCAGTGTCATTGTACAACATGGGCTGTAACTATTCATAATGTATTTGAATGGTTTGAGCTGTAGGTGACAACCTGTAGAATCTTGGTTCTAATATTCTGTTTCAGTGGTCTGCCCTTTAATAGATCCTTCTGAAAATTGATCTGGCTCTATTGATTTATCCATTGACCTTGTTGGTGACCATTTTAAAACCTACATCAATTGAGTCATTTTATGTATTTGAGTAAGTGATCTGTAGCTCACAAAAGTGTATATGCCTTAATAATATTATTCAGAAAAGGTGATACCAATCTCCTGATATTTTGCCATTCTAGACTAACATAGCTGTCCTCCTTTAATGTTTATTTATGTTATGGAAATATTATATGGCTATATATTTTCTCTGTTAATTTTTTACTCTTATATTACTGTAGAAGAAAAGTCTCTTTTCATTCCTTTGTTTTATTTATGACCATCTTGGGTTTTAGAAAAATACAAGTATGGATCCATATTTCTTCTAACCTGTTCCTCTATCCTTGACTTCCCCTCCCTGATTTTCCATTATTATTTCAATGCCTCAACTTCTTTCTCCCACCACTGACGAGAGTAAAATCTCTCCTACAAAGCTCAACTAAGATTCACCTATATCTGACTACAAACATACAATATTTAAACTTCTTCCTTTACAAGACTTTTGTACCTTTATCTCAATTAGTATTGTGTCTAGCACACTTTTAATCATTAAATTGCATCAGGATGTTCTTTCTATCATTGCTTCTTTTTTTTTTTCAAAGATAATTTTTATTAATTTTTTAAAATTTTGCAAAAACAAAAACAAAACAATCTTCCCCCCAACCTCCCCAACCCTCCCATTCCCTCCCCCGACCTTCCCAGAGCTGGATATAGGCTTAATTAAAATTTCATCAAAAAATCTTTAAAAAAGATATAAACCATAAATAAATCTAACATTAGTTAAAAATCTAAATACATTAATTAGAAAAATTATAAAATAATTAACAATAATATATATATAAAGAAAACATGAGTACAAAAAATAAATGTTTAGAAAAGAGAAAAATGAAAAAAAAGGAAAAAAGAAGAACAAAGAAAGAAAAAAAAGAAAAAAAACACCAAAATATTCCATTTTAAATATAAATTGTTAAAAAACTAAATAATATTTTTTTTATATCTAACTTATGTTGTATAAAATCTATCCATTTTTTCCATACCGCAACATACTTCTCTTGCGATTGATCCTTCAAGAAAGCCGAAATCTTTGCCATTTCCGCCAAATAAGAAACTTTAAGAAACCACTCTTGCAAAGTAGGCAAAGATTCCTTCTTCCAACATTGCCCTACTAACAACCTTGTGGCTGTAATTAAATTTAACATCAGTGTAGTCTCCTTAGTATCACAATCAATAACGATACCTAACAAAAACAATTGTGGGGTAAATTTTACCCTCCTTCTAAAAATTCTTTGAATATTCCACCATATCTTAATCCAAAAAGCTTTTATATTTTTACACGACCACCAGATATGATAATAAGTAGCATCCAAACATCCACATCTCCAACATTTAGGATGTAAGTCAGGATACATACGAGACATTTTTTGTGGGTCAAGGTGCCATCTATAAAACATTTTATAAAAATTCTCCCTTAAATTCTGGGCTTGTGTAAATTTAATATTTCTCACCCAAATAGTTTCCCAAGTATCTAATAAAACTGGTTCACCAAAATTTTGTGCCCATTTAATCATACATGCTTTAATTAATTCTGCTTCTGAATCCAATTCTACTAACACCCCATAAATTCTCTTAATGTGAGTTCGTCTTTGATCTTTTACTTGTTTAAAAAAATTCTCATCTTCTCTAAGCAAACCCACATTACAATCTACCTTCCATCTATCCACAATTTGTCTGTACTGAAACCATGAATATATAATATTTTCTTGTGCTAGATCTTCCAAAGATTTTAACTGCCAATTTTTACCATCCCATCTGAGTAATTGTACATAGGAAACACTATCCATCTTAACTCCTCTCCTTATCCCCTCTATCGCATGCCATGGTATGGCCCATAATGGAATTTTAGAATCAGTTCTATAATATTTCCTCCAAACCCGAAGTAAAGAAATCCTTATAATATGAGATTTAAAGACCCTGTCAACCTTTTTATTAAAAACTAAATAGGCATGCCAACCAAAAAGTAAATCCCAACCCTCCAAGAGGAGTATTTCTACATTTGTTAAGTTAATCCAATCACTAATTAATGTTAAAACCACAGCATCATAATACAATTTCAAGTTCGGTACCTTGAGTCCACCTCTCTCATGAGTATCTTGTATAATTTTAAGTTTTACTCTTGGTTTTTTCCCTGCCCAGATAAATTTGTTGATACCTTTCTGCCATTCGTTTAAATTAACCTCATTCTTTAAAATAGGTATCATTTGAAATAAAAAAAGAAACTTTGGCAGAACATTCATTTTAATCGCCGCAATTCTTCCCAGAAAAGATAATTGCAACTTCTCCCAATTTTTCAACTCTCTTTGTATCTTGACCCACAGCTTTTCATAATTATTTTTATACAGTTTTGCATTAGAGACAGATAAAATGACCCCCAAATATTTTACCTTATCAACGACCTCGAAATCTGTCAAATTAACCAAAGACTGCTTATCAAGATTGGTCATATTTTTGGGTAGTATTTTAGTCTTATTATTGTTAATTTTAAAACCTGAAACCCATCCATATTGATGTATCAATTGTAATAACTCTACTACTGAGTGAATAGGTTGTGATAAGGTAACCACCAAGTCATCTGCAAAGGCTCTTAATTTATATTCTTTTTTATTGACTTCTATTCCTTTTATTTGCTGTGATTCTCGAATTTTAATCAGCAATATTTCCAAAGTTAAAACGAACAGCAGTGGTGACAATGGACATCCCTGTCTAGTCCCTTTTTCTATTGTGAAAACCTCTGACAAACCCCCCTTAACTATAAGTTGTGTCGTTTGTTTTTGATAAATAACACCAAGAGCTTGTAGAATTTTTCCTCCAAAATTCATTTTCTCAATTAATCTTAACATAAATTGCCAATTCACTTGATCAAAAGCTTTTTCAGCATCTAAAAATATCAATCCTGCAGAAACTTGATTATTTTTATCTAAATATTCTAATAAATTAATGATTTGTCTGACATTATTCTTCATATACCTTCCAGTTATAAAACCTGTTTGGTCTGTGTGTATGACATGATGCAAAACCCTCGTAAGCCTATTGGCTAAAATTTTCACAAAAATCTTATAATCTACATTTAAAAGAGATATAGGTCTATAATTCTTTGGTAAAGTAAGGTCTTGATCTTCTTTTGGAATTAAAGATATAAAGGCTCTACCCCATGACGGGGGAATCTCTGAGTCCTGTAATATATTATTAAAAAGTTCTCTTAAAGGTTGAACCATCTCTTGTATCAAAGTTTTATAATAAATAAATGTCAGGCCATCCGTACCCGGTGCTTTACCTAATTTTAATTCTTTAATCACCATCTCAATTTCCTCATTAGTAATCAAACCATTAATTTCTTGCTTCTGATCTTCTGTTAATTTAGGGAAGTTGGCTTCATTTAAGTAATTATCTATATCTAAAACCTGTACTTTAGTACTCTTATATAGTTTTTGGTAATAATCTAAAAAAGATTTCTTAATCAACTCCTTCTGATATACCAATTTACCATTATAATTTATTTTATCTATAATTCT